CTCGCAGTCCTTAAGAGGGATGATCATAGGGGGTACTACAACCCCTACCAAGGACTGTTTCTATTAAGGGGAAACATTCCAACCCATAGACGACGAGACGTGCACACAACCCTCCGTCACGCGACTGTTGAGTGTCGATGTCACTGCACAACAGAAGACAGCAATGCTCAATCACGAAAGTAAACCTGTAAATGCGAACTTTGGGGTACACAGCGAAACCATGTTTTTGCACAGTCAAACCACGAAAGCACGGCTAAATGAGCGGTGTTTACGGTCTTTGAATGCCTTTTGAAAGACCCTAAAAAAAGAACAGACGCTAAGAAAGACACGCCGAGTCACGAAACATGCCGCCCCCTGCCATGCTTTCCACAGGACGACCTCTAAAATCAACACTTTTGTGGGGTTTAGGGTTTAGGGTTTAGGTTGCTGTAAACCCAAAGCCCAAAACCCTAAACCCTAAACCCAAAACCCTCAATCCCAAATCCTAAACCCTAAACCCTAAGCCCTAAACCCTACACCCGACACCCTAAACCCTAAACCCTAAACCCTGTGCTCCCAAATGCCAAGGAGCTGCGGGAGCAGCGCAGCAGAGTTTCCCGAAGCCGCTCCTTGCTTGCGTTTCCCTTTCTGGCGGTTATTGTAAGGCAAGTATTTGGGGTTTGGGTGTGGGGTTTAGGGTTTAGGGTTTAGGGTTTAGGGTTTCGGGTTTCGGGTTTAGGGTTTAGGGTCACAAAAAGTGTCTTGGCACCCTAAGTCTGGTGCCACAGCCACGGGGCAACCTCGACTGGGCGAGGTACAGACCTGTATCAACTCTGCATCCGACACCCTAAACCCTAAACCCTAAACCCTAAACCCTAAACCCTAAACCCTAAACCCTAAACCCTAAACCCTAAACCCTAAACCCTAAGCCCTAAGCCTAAGCCCTAAGCCCAAAAGCCCTAAGCCCTAAGCCCTAAGCCCTAAACCCTAAACCCTAAACCCTAAACCCTAAACCCTAAACCCTACACCCTACACCCTAAACCCTAAACGCTAAACCCTAAACCCTAAACCCTAACCCTAAACCCTAAACCCTCAACCCTAAACCCTGAACCCTTATAAATCCTAAACCCTAAACCCTACACCCTAAACCCTAAACCCTAGGCCCTAAACCTCCGCGTAATCCAAGGATCCCGCCAGTTTTTTCGGCTACGCGGCGAGGCGAGATCCGGCTAGGGTTCAGGGTTTAGGGTTTAGGGTTTAGGGTTTAGGGTTTAGGGTTTAGGGTTTAAGGTTTAAGGTTTTAGGGTTTCGGGGTTTCAAGGGTTTAGGGTTTCAAGGGGTTTAGGGCTGCCCCGTGCCTCTGCGTGAAAAGCCTCCGCCCAGGATCTCTTCCTCCACCGCATCCTTATCTGGGCCAAGTCACAGGCCAGGTCGGAACTTCAAACCCAAAACCCTAAACCCTAAACCCTTAGAAGCCAACTCTGGCGGCTTAAAGAACCTTAAACCCCAAAACCCTTAGAAGCCAATTTTGGTTCTTCAAACCCTAAAGCCTAAACCCTAAACCCTAAACCCTAAACCCTAAACCAAAAACCTTAAACCCTAAACCAAAAACCTTAAACCCTAAACCCTAAACCCTAAACCCTAAGCCCTAAGCCCTAAGCCCTAAGCCCTAAACCCTAAACCCTAAGCCCTCCCTAAACTTCAAGAAGACGGCCACCTGGAGTCCTCACAGCAGCTGCTTGCAAGGCCTCCCTCTCGCAGCCGCAGCGTGCGCTGCTGAGCTGCGGCGTGCGCGCCAGGCAGGGCCTGCGACGGGTGCAGCTCCGTCAAGAGCCGAGGGAGAGCCTTGGCATGCATAGGGGTTTAGGGTTTTTTTTTTTAAGGGGTTTAGGGGTTTAGGGTTTTTTTTGGGGTTTAGGGGTTTAGGGGTTTAGGGGTTTTTTTGGGTGGGTTTTGGGGTTTTGGGGTTTGGGTTTTAAGGGGTTTAGGGTTTTAGGGTTTAAGGGGTTTTTGGTTTTTAGGGTTTAGGGTTTAGGTTTAGGTTTAGGTTTTTGGGTTTCCGCGCATCCTGGGCTCGGGCCCTGACCCAGTGCCGAGCCCCGCTATGGTGCGCGTCGAGGGTAGGGGCAGCGTTATTGGGACCCGGCACTGGGTCAGGGCCCGAGCCCAGGATGCGCGGAACCCTAAACCCTAAACCCTAAACCCTAAACCCTAAACCCTAAACCCTAAACCCTAAACCCTAAACCCTAAACCCCCGAGACCAGAAATCCTGAGCCGAGTCCAAGGCCAACCCGCGCGCTTCCTCGCGTGCAGCTCCGCACCTTGCCTAGCCGAGCAGTGGATGTTGGGTCCAGGGTTTGATGTACTGGTTTAGGGTTTAGGGTTTAGGGTTTAGGGCTGAGTACCGGGCATGTTTCATGAAAGATTGCGCTTGCAAGCATGCCTGACCTTCGCAGGACGAACCCCTCCCCGTTAGGACGTGAGGGATGTCGCTTCGGGGGATCCCTTTGATACAGGATTTGAAGGGTTTCGGGCCTACGCACCGCGCTGTCTTTCTGTCTGCATGGGGCAGCATACTGTGCACTGTGCAGAATCGAAGGTGGCGGCTCGTAGAAATGCTTGGCCAAGGTAGTGGTGTTGAATTTCTTTGTGCCTGGCTAGGCATTCTTTTGTTCAGTTTGGGTTTTCAGGTCGTGAGCAGCTATAGCCGATTGGCAGCTATCTTCTGATGCGGCACTCTTGTCTATTCTCTCGAGGTTACGACTGATGGACCAGATCGGGCATTGCCCACCGTGAAGAAGATGCTGGCGTTCCCAGGGCCACACCTCCTTCAATGCCAGGAATCCTGACCTCGAACCTCTACAGGGTTTGGGTTCAGGGTTCTGTGCGATCAAGACTGGACTACCAAGTGACAGACAGGCTCTATGTACCGGAACTGTTCCTTATCCATTTTGCATCTCTTTCACGTGAAGGTATATCCACACTCTCGCTCAGCGCCCCTGCCCCGCCCCCAAGACTCCCGTAATAGAGGCAACCCAAATGCATGAGCCGTGAAGGTTAAACCTGCCTCCCTAGCACCCTTCGAGAGTCGGGGGAGGAGTTCCTGTGGTAGCCGAGTCATTGACTCTTTACTCCTGCGCGTGGAGGAAACTCTGCGCTAAGCAAAGAGATGCTTCAAGATTTTCCCCCTTATACTAACAGCCCTTAATACGGTAGGATTATAGTACCCCCTACCCTATTATCATCACTATGAATGACTGTTAGTACAAGGGGGGGAACATCCCAAGAGATTCGCTAAAAGTCTTGGCCTACCCTTCCAAAGTTTCGCACATGGCCGCGGAATCTCTTTCCTCCATCCGCTGCAGGAGCCAATGTGCATACAAATCTTCCTTCTTGGGCCTTGAAGGTCTTCTTGGGACAAGGATACAAAGCTAATTACACAGGGGCGGGGGGTCCAATTTCAATGCCCCAGCTGCTGATTCGTTGCCTTTTCGCCGCACGGCCGCGCAGAGATGGATGCAGAGCAACGCGAGGGGATTCAGGATTGAGGGGTTTAGGGTTGAGGGGTTTAGGGTTCAGGGTTTAGGGCTCGGGGGAGTTTGGGGCCTCGGGAATTGATGGCTACAGGGTTTTTAGCGTTGAAGGCTTTAGGCCAACCGAGTGGCGCTCATGGCTTAGCATGGTGAGTAGTGGTACTTGAAGGCTTTGTCGGGCTTTAGGAACAGCGGTGTTTTGGGGGCTTCGGGCATCGGGTGGCCTAGTAAGGGATGCCGTAGCAGAGAAGCTTTGTCTTCGTCCATAGTTGACATCTGGGGCAAAGCGGAAGAAGGCAACGAGGCCTGGTTCCACTGGAAGTGGCTGAGGAACCAGGCCACAGGAGCAAAGCCCCCCAAAAATTGGGGGTTTCCGAAACTAGGGTACCTTATTGGGGTCCTTATTATAAGGGAATCCTATTTAGGGATCCCTTATGTTCGGAAACCCCCCCAAAAATTGGAATGGGCGCGCGAAATTAGCAGCCCCCCCAGGTGCCGTGGCATTCGGCCGATTTGAATCTTCGCCGGTTGCAGCAGCAGTGCGCTCTGGGCGTTTCACCATGGCATTAGCTGGAGTCATGCCTGCCTGACTTGATTAAAACAGCCACCAGAAAGGGGATCTGATGGGACATTAGTTAGTGTAGTCTGGTTGCAAATCGGCGTCCTCAGGGTTCATAGGGTTTAGGGGGGGGGATCATCCCTGAAGCAAAGGTCCCTGCACGTTTTGCACCTTGTTCGAAACCATCCTTTTTGTTGTCTCCCGATTCAACGTACAAACCGAAGACTACGGCATGTTGACGTGCTAAACCCTCCACGGCGCTAAGCCAGTTGAAGTGCTACGAGCCCCCCCCCCCCTCACCCGCCCACAGGAATATTAGCCCTCCTTTTGGGGTCTTTTGGGACTTGCATGTCGTGTACGGGCAGCAGCAGACAACTCGCATCGCTCATGCCCTTCCCAGCTTGCTGACTGCCCGACCAGTCAGCGTCACTGAAAACCTCGTGTAGAAATCTCATGGCCCACCTTGGGGGAATGTCCACCCGAGAAATGCACCCAGCATGCAACTGCTCTTCTGAAACCGAGAGAAGAGGCCTTCCGTTCCTTTTTTTGGTGAGTGAGCGCAAGCAGCTAAGTTTTTTCCTTGGGCAAAGGCGTGCAAGCAAGGTACAACGGGTACTGTAGCAGGGGAGACATTCGGATGATATGCTCAGGAGTCTGCAGCCATGAGAATGACTCCTGTCCTCTGCCTTGTTCTTACGCTGCTAGGACTAGGACGATGTGCTTTTCGCCCGATGTCGGCTTCAAAGCGTGCAGAGCTACAAGAACGGCTTTAACCCAGCATGCCCGTCGGCGCACCTGCCTTACGTCACCCTTACTGCAGCCTTGCGACCGGATTTGTAGAAAACCCGTGCGCCTGCGTCAGCGAGTTGTATTCCTGAACCCAAGTCTACATCCGCCTTAGGCCTCCTTGGGCCTCCTTAGCGCCTGCCATGCGTGTGAAGAGACACAAGAACCACCGGCGCATCCTCCGCTTCTTCCGCTTGACATTTGGCATCCAGGCGCGGAATCTGTGGGGTATGTTGGGAGCCCTTTTTCTGTGGTCCCCCTAAGAAATATTCTTTGTGTTTGTTTCTTTAAACCCCACGGGAATATTGAAAGCTATTTTTATTCAGGTTCTATGTTGGGATCCCTTTTGTAAACCCCCTTGTAAGCAAGGCATTCCGGCATGGAAAGGGGACGCAACAGGGACTTTCAGTCAGTCACAGGTACTCGTACTGAGAACGGAGGGCCTTTTTGTCCTGTCGCCCCTCAACCCCCCTAAACACATCAAACCCGAAACCCTAAACCCCCCAACCCCAGTAACCCCCAGGCGTTAGAAGTGATACACCCTCCCGTGCTGATCCTGTCTTGAGTGCCGTTTGGGGTCTGTTGTCATGGCCCCCCTGGACACCCTAAACCCTAAACCTTAAAAACCTAAACCCCAAAACCCTAAACCCTGAACCCTAAACCCCTAAACCCCTAAACCCCTAAACCCCTAAACCCCTAAACCCCTAAACCCCTCAACCCCCCCTTGGCTCCGGCAGGAGCCTTACCATGTCTTGGTGGATGGAACCTTCCTCACCCATGCCTTGCAGCAGCGTGTCCACGTGAAGGCACGGGATGGCGTTTAGGGTTTAGGGTTTAGGGTTTAGGATTTATGGTTTAGGGTTTACGGTTTACGGTTTAGGGTTTAGGGTTCAGAGTTTAGGGTTTTAGGGTTTAGGGTTTAGGATGACATCCTTTGACCGCAGAACGTCGCATAAAGAAGCAATGACACGAACCGCTTGAGCCGAAGGAGCAGCTGCCCAAGATGCTGGAGGGCCGGACGACCCCAATGACCACAGGCGCGGGGAAACAGCAAAGCCCGGCCCCCTCGCCAAAAGCGAAGGGGTCAACCTCCCCAAACCCCACCAGAACCCCCCCCACAAGTTCCCTTGAAGTTCTACGTTTGCGGAAGGAGAAGCCCGTTAGTTATGGCATTTGGAGTGCGGGTAGACCCGAACCCTAATGCCCTTGAGCTCCGTACCTCGAAACTATTGTGGGGTTGCCTGCGTAGAGCTCGTACGACCGAATCTCAAAATGTGTCCTCGAAGGCCTTCCCAAACCCTAAGCCCTCAACCCTAGACCCCAAAACCCCAAAGCCCCAAAACCCCAAAACCCCCAAAACCCCAAAACCGCAAGACCCTACAACCCTAAAACCCTAAAACTCCTAAACCCCTAAACCCCTAAACCCCTAAACCCTAAACCCCTAAACCCCTAAACCCCTAAACCCCTAAACCCCTAAACCCCTAAACCCCTAAACCCCTAAACCCCTAAACCCCGAAACCCCGAAACCCCGAAACCCCGACACCCCGAAACCCCTAAACCCCTAAACCCCTAAACCCCTAAACCCCTAAACCCCTAAACCCCTAAACCCCTAAACCCCTAAACCCCTAAACCCCTAAACCCCTAAACCCCTAAACCCTAGAGAGCAGCAGGCTGTATTCTGGCGGAGCTCCGGTCCCTGGGAGATCGCGCTCTGGGCGCAGTGGTCGTCTCAAAGGGGCACGGAGCTCACGCTCACCGGGGGGAGGGGGGCTTAGGGTTTAGGGTTTAGGGGCTTTCTTGGGGATTCACAATGAATATTCTTAGCCTTTTGGGCACTGTAAGTCCGAAGAAATTGGGGTTTAGGGTTTAGGGTTCAGGGCTCAGGGTTCAGGGTTAGGGTTTAAGGGCTAGGGCAAGCTAGGGTCCTTGTTGAGACTTGGGGTTGAGAGGGTGCAGGAGGGTCCCCTAAGTTAGGGTTCTTATTTAGTTCTTAAGGGTCTAGGGTTTAGGGAGAGAGTTTGGGTTCAGGGGTTTAGTGTTTAGGGAGAACGGATTGGTTCCCAACCGGGGACTTGGGAAAAAGGTTTGTCTTCAGGGCACTTAACCGGAATCCATCCGGGTTGGGGTGAAGGGTTTAGGGTTTGGGTTTAAGGTTTTCCGTTTTAGGGCTCAGGGCATTTAGGTGAAAGTTGTAGCATTTGCCCGCGGCCAAGTGTGACGACCACCGCAGCTCACCCGTCTCTCGTTTTTGATCGCCGCTGTCAAGGTACTACCGTGTGAAGTGTGGACACGACGAGAATCCAGTCGGAGCGTCCCAGTGCATCCGCGAGCAGATTGGCAAGACCAATGCCAGAAGGCCCCTGTCAGGGTTTAGGGTTTGGGGTTTAGGGTTTAGGGTTTAGGGTTTGGGGTTTAGGGATGTTTAGGATTTAGGGTTTAGGGAGATTCCTGGCGTGTCCCGTAGCAGTTGGCGCTGGGGCTCAGCCTCGGCCTTGTTCAGGTTCTTCGTTGCGACGCAGGACCCCGACCTTCGGCTGCAGCTGCGGTCCGTGCCGGGCGTCCCCCTCATCAGGCGCAACCAAGTGTGCACTTATACTCACTATAAACCCTAAACCCTAAACCCTAAACAAAACCCTAAACCCTAAACCCTAATCCCTAATCCCACCCTAAACCCTAAACCCTAAACCCTAAACCCCTAAACCCTAAACCCTAAACCCCAAACCCTAAACCCTAAACCCCAGCATTCTGCAGGCTCAACGGCCCAGTGCCTCAGCTGGAGGAGCCCTCGGAGTCCACGCGGCGCCTTGCAAAGGAGGGCGAGGAGATCATAGAAGTAGTCACATGGTCCGTAGTATGGGGGTTTAGGGTTTCGGGTTTAGGGTTTAGGGTTTAGGGTTTAGGGTAGGGTAGTTGCATGGTCCATATTCATGGCCCATGAAGCCACCCTTAGAGGAGAGGAAGCGCGGGCCCTCCGACTGGGAGAAGCCCAAGCTGCCAGAACTGAAGGTGGGGTTGAGGGTTTATGGGGTTTGGGGTGTACAGGGTTGGGTTTAGGGTTTAGGGTTTAGGGTTTGGGGTTTGGGGTTTGGGTTTAGGGTTTAGGGTTTAGGGCTAGGATCCTTGCAAGGCTTTCGCCAAAACTCGTCCGACTGCCTGCGCAGGCCAAAGAGGTTCTGAAAGAGGCTTTGGCTGCAAAGCCCAAGGCCAAGAGGAAGAAGAAAGGACCTGCTGTGTCACCAAACCCTAAACCCTAAACCCTAAACCCTAAACCCTAAACCCTAAACCCTAAACCCTAAACCCTAAACCCTAAACCCTAAACCCTAAACCCTAAACCCTAAACCCTAAACCCTAAACCCTAAACCCTAAACCCTAAACCCTAACCTCCGCAGACTCAGCGTGTTCTCGCGCACGGAAGGAGTCAACCCGCTTGCCTGCAAGAAGCCCAAGAAGGCAAAAGCAGGCTGGGGCGCACCAGGGTCTGTGAACCAGAGGTCTCCACAATCCCATCACTTTTGGGGCTTGATCCCGAATAGTACATATTCCCCATCCACTATAACTTAGCCATAAGAGGAGTATTTAAATACCACTATAATTTAGCCATAAGAGGAGTATTTAAGATTATGGGGGTAGGTTGGGGTATAATATCGAAACCCTCACAATTGTTCACTTTTGGTGGCCGAAGAGGGTCGGCCTGCAATGTCGATGAAGCTTGCAGGCAAAGGAGCTGCGTGTGGAGGGGCCTTGCCAACAAAAAAGCAAGAAAGCGAGTTCTCCTGTAGCAGACTGGTAAGCAGATTGCAGTTGTGGCACAATGCAGTGCACTTGAAAGCCGCCCTTGAAACTTAGTAGGCGGATGTGTGTGTTGACGGCTGTGTGCCTTTACATGCTTTGTGAAGCTGAGCCGAAACCCCGAACCACAAACCCATGTAAAACCCCTCGCAAAGCCCGCTCCACCCACGAGGTGCGGTGCCTTCGAAGCCCATCCCGGAGGTGCCAAAGGCGAAGCGCGTGCGCTCGCGGCGGATGGGCAGCCGAAGCCGTGCCGAGGCGGGCTAGGGCGAGATGGGAGGGGTGTGAACTTCGGAGGCGATTCGTCCAAAGACTTTTAGCAACCCCCAAGTCCGAACCCTATAAACCGTAGTTGTGAGAGTCGGAACCCCTAAACCCAACCTAAGCCATGCCAACCCCCTGCCTCGAGCAGGGGTTTAGCCATGTTGAGCCCACGTTCCCCCAAGTCGCTAAGTCGCTCCAGGCTTCGGGTTCTGGATATTTGTAGATGGTCTTAGGAGAGTCGACAGAACTTGCCCTGTGGAGGCCGAGACGATGCTTGCTGCCAAAGACGCATCCCAAGGCCCGGGGTCCGGAACCTCCATGCAAGCAAGCCCAGTGCTCTAATAGACATGCTTTTTTGTATTGGTGGCCCCCTTTCTTGGCAGTTTGTCCAACGCCTCCGGCGCAGCTGCAGCGAAAGCGTCGCCGATGAGGCGAAAAAAAGCTGTGCCCTGCAACCTGGAACCCAAAGCACTCAGGAACGGCATCCTTTTCTGCACTCTGCACATCTTTGGTTTGGTCGCCTTGTGCCTGCTTCCTCTCTTGGCTCAGGTTTTGGACCCTGCAGGTAAGGTGGGCAGGTAAGTATGCTATACAGGGGCCTTAAGGGGCCAAGGACGTTCGCACGACATGTCTCTAAACCCCTCAGCCATGTAACTCCTCCGATGTGGACGCGGAAGCGGCAGGGGACGGCGCCTGAGCCTAAGCGCACCCGCACCCAACTGATCAATTCCAGGAAGGTGCAGGTGTTGACAAAAGGTTGGTTTTCTGGCAGATTCTGACGGGCTGGTGGTGAACTGGCCTTGCAGCGTGCCTTCGAGGATGCCAGGAGGAGCCAGGCACAGAGTGGTTGAAGGGATGGCTCCACCCCTAAAGCCCCGGCTTGAAGCTTCGCTGCCTACTGGCATTGTAGAGGCTTTCATGGAGTGAGTGCTATTCTGGGCGGCTGGCCCCGGGCTATCCTCTACCTCCTTCCTCCACGCACTCAGCAGCCTCAACGAGGAGAAGCCAAACTCTCGACTATGCCTTTGTATCATGTCGCACTGCACGTTTAAAATGCCTAAGCCATAGCAGGCCTGTGTATTCAAGAAGCCACCTTCCCAACTCACACCCGTCTTTGAATGCAACGCCACTGGGCCACCGGCTACCCCTCCATAGTATAGACCCCAAATATTGTAGGATCCCCTTGCAATACGGATCCTAATTTTAACGCCACGCGACCCGCCTCGGCCTGGCCCAATGCAGCTCCCGAAAAGGGGGCCGACGTTGGGGGGGGGGGGGGGGGGGGGGGGGGGGGGGGGGGCTGCAACGCCTACCCAAGAAAAGGCCAGACAATGAGCGCTGAGGAAACCATTTTGACCCATACCAACAATAGCCTCTCCCTGCACAGGAAAATGACTGCGGCACAAGACAACGCATCATGAGAATCTTCGTAAAATCAATAAGGCTCCGATGAACGCTTAACATCAGCACTCATCCTATTAAGACTAGTAGGAATCCTATTGAAATCCATATGAATCAATTCATGAAAATTCATAACATCCATATGAGTTCTTTCAAAATAGTATGTGAACATTTTAGAGACACTATTGGAATATGGAGGTCGGAGGTTGCAAAAACCACTCACCCGTCCGCCCCACGCACCCGCGACAAACAAAGAGACGCGCCCAAAAGAAACGACCCCCCCCCCCCTGTGCACCCGCACAAACAATAAGAACGCGCCCCGCGCCCGCAGTAAGAAAGCACCCACAGCCAAAAAAAGGCAGGCACTCTTACCATTTTGGTCTAAGACTGTCACGTTAATGCTTTGGAGGCTGCTTTCAAAGCGGAGTTCGGTAAGAGAGTAACCCGCCCTAAACCAAAAACCGCAGACCGAAACTCTAAATCGTATAGTACGGGCTTTGGAGTTTCAGGTTGTTAGGCGGAGCTTCGGAACTTTGGCCACGACTGGGAAGGGCCTTTTCTTGAGAGGTGCTGCAGCGAACTGCCCCCCTCCTCGCCCACCCACCCCTCCAACAGTTTCGGGCTTAGACGGGGGCCCGGCAAAACAGAGTTTTGCAGGCCTTCCTCGCCCCCCCTACCTTCCCCCCCTCCCCCCCAACAAAAAAGAAAAAAAGGAGAAACAAAAAAAGAGAAAGGACGCAAAAGAACATCCCACAGCAGTCGCCACCAGGTTCATCAGAGCAGGCTAGCGTGCACACAAAATGTCTTACAGTGTTTTTACTCTTCGCGTTGTGCGCAGTTCTTGGGCCCGGTCTCCCCAACACGCGAAGTGTCAACCCCTAAGCCCTAAGCCCTAAACCTTAAAACTTAGACGATGTTCGAAGCCAAGCCCTAAACCCCTGAACCCTAAACCCGAGACATGGTTGGGAGCTCGGAGGTGGCATCCGTATCTAGGCTCGGAATGGGGGCCGGGGGGGGGGGGGGGGGGGGATGGGGTTCCGAAAATAGGGTACATTCTCCTATGATGAGTAGTAGGTGTTTTTGGGGAAGATAAGGGCCCTGCCCTAAATTTGGGAAGTTCCCATGTCGATCGTCGTGGAGCTTTGAAATGCTTTGAACTTGGCTTCTCATCAGATCTCAGGGGCCTGGTCGTCTGCCAGACCTCCAGGTCAAGTATGTATCTTCAAATTCTCGGGCATCAGATCTCGGGTAAGCTTGTAGCATCTTGTAGCATTGCCACAGCGTTTGTGCAGTACATATTCTGCATCCCTTGTGGCTCTCATGGCGGATCTGGTGTACCTAGAAGCCCGTGTTCATGTGACCAGGCCGCAGCGGGTGCAGATGCAGAAGCTGCTGAGCCAAGCTTGAGTGCGGAACGCGGCCAAGCTTCCAAGGAGTAGATCAAGTCGTCAGCGTTGGGTGTCATGGGCAGGTTACAGGAAGTTGATCCATTGACTGGATTCAGCCTGGCTCAGAGGCGTTTGCGCTGCAGATCCTGTCAGCAAGATGAGCGAGTGCGTGTTGACAAATCCAGTAATACCGCAGCATCGCATCAAGATGCCATTCGAATCGCAATCTAATTTTCTTCACAGATGCGCAGAAGCTTTGAGACTGCTGCTTTCCGCTTCACGCTCCGGTACATGGCAAGCCATGAGGCTGCCGGCCAGCGGAGCAGGTGGCCACCAACCGGGCCATGATATCTGGGTGACGGTGGAGAGCATTTCCCTTTGTTTCGTCCTCTGCTTGGTCCTTGTCACACTGATCTTCAGGGGCACCAGGCTTTGTCGAGACATCAGCGCTAAAGGCGATGCTGGCCGGGCTGCGTTTGTTTTGACTGTCGCCGGGCTGACAGCATGGCGTGTCACAATGAATGTGCGCACAGTCCTGAACGTTGACAGCATCGGCCGCAAGGTCTTCTACGGGAACCTTTTGCCGGCCTATGCGCAGTTAGCTGATGCCGGCTTGCGGCCGGCAGTTGGAGCCCTGAGCTTGCTGCCTCTTTTTTCCAGTGCCAGGAAGTCGCTGCTGCAGGTAGTTGCCCTTGCAGGATGCATGTTTGTGTTTTTTTTATCGGCGGGCGCGTTGGAGTTCAATGCGTTTGCTCCGAAGGACGAGGAGCTCACGCACTACAGCACGGCATTAAACGGTGGCTCGCTGGTGCCTGCGTGCTGGCTCAACCGTGCCTTCCTCACTGTGCTCACACGGTTCAAGCTTGAGAGATTGGGGTGGCGGCTCACGGGGTCGGGCGCCTGTGCGGGCTGGATCCTTTGGGTTTTTCTCCGAACCCACAGGAACCTTGCCAGGGCGCCAAAAAATCTTCACACAGGGCTAACGGGAAGATTACTTAGCGAATATGCAGAGGCGTATTCGACGGTTGGGGGATTCCTGCTGACCCCCATGGGCACGTTGCTGTTTTGGGCCTTGCTGGGCGTCGTCACAGCTGTGAACGCTTCAGTGCTCCTCTACGAGGCCGTGATGAAAAAGAAGCTGCTGCAGGAGAAGGGGATAAGCATCAAGGAGGAGGCCGAAGACATCGAAAAACTGAAGACGAAGAACGCTGAAGACTTGACAGATGCTGAGAAAACGAAGATAGACATGGAAGCAGCCAGAGAAGCAGCCAGAAAGAAAGATGCGGAGTTGCGTCAACAGGCTTCTTGGAGTGTCAATATGCTCTTCTTCGGCGCAGCTGTGACCATCGCTGATGTGATCTACATGGCTACATTGGAGCAGTTTGCCACGGAGATTGGCCAAAGGATGCCACCAGCTGTGTTCCTGACAGTGGACAACATGCTGGTTCTCACAAGTCTCCTGGTCATTGGTGGCCTTTTGGGCGAAACTAACGCATTGGAGGAGCTGGAGGTCTTGAAAGAGATGCAGCACATGGGCAGAAGCCATGGGCAACGGATTGCCTTCCCCGGGAAGGTCAACCCCAAGTCAAAGCATTGCATTGTGAGCTTTCCCGGCAAGTATGCACCTGAGACTTGGACTTTGGGTTGGAGGTGTAAAGGGTAGGCTACCACCACCAGTTAGATGGGGCCGTGGGCTGAAGCCATTGAGTTTCGCCTAGGCTAGTGATCTCCAAGTTTTAGCTTCTTTTTTCTTTTGGAAGCGTTAGGAGCGCATGTCATTCTCTGCTTCTGATTTCTTCATCCGGAGGACCCCGTCCCTGCCAACAGGCTTGAATCCCGCAGGATTCCCCTCTGCTCACCACATGGAGGGCCCCGCCACAGTCCCGCTCACATTTTCGAATTTCTGCTCCCGCCGACGCACGGTGCTGACTTGGCACAAATTGGTGCGCCCCCCCCCCCCCCCCCCCCGAGCACGCCGCGATCAGCCCCTAGGAACCGTCCTGACCAAGCCACCATCAAACACCCCCGCCGCCCTCAATGCCCGACCCACTTTCCCGCCGCACGTGGCCATCAACCTCTAGAAAACCTGCCTCTTGTATTCAGCTGACAATGTTGATTTTCAACCACATTTCCTGCTCCCTGGCATGTGATTGTCATCCCCTCCCCCCACACAGACCTTGTCTTCAATGGTGCATTGGCATAAATGACGTTCAGTCAACAACAGCGTTCGGCAACATTAGCATCAACCTGCCCGCCCACCCCAACCCCCCGCCCCCCCCTCTTAGTCACAAGTGAATCCCTTCTTTTCTGGCCCCCTGCACGAACCCAACGCGCACTTCGTCCTCCACTCGTTCAAGTGAGCTGTTCTCGATAGTGGCCATAGCAGTGGGGTGTTGACCTCATGCCTCGGATGATAGGGTTGGCAAGTCGCATGTCTTTTGGCTTTAAGGAGTGGGATGCTGCCGTGCGCATGGTGGAAGTGCGGGCCGGCACATGCAGCCTAGCTTGTGTTTTCTTGACAGATCGCGAGAATGGGTTGGGGCTCCACAAGGACAATCCCGAGCAACCGGGTCAGTGCTGGTGCAAGGCGCTGTACCCCCCCGGCCAGTTTTCGCCAGCAAACTACATGATGATCGTGGAAGATCCAACGGCCTTGAGCGCCGAAGACCTTCGTTTCAAAGAGACAGATGCTAAGGCGATGGGTCAGATCTTTTTGAAGAGAGAGGCCGGGCAAGATGACGTGCAGTGGGCAGAGGAGAAAGGAAAAGCAGAGGCCGCCGCACAGAAGAAATGTAAAGAGAACGGCGGCTGTGCCCCTTGGGGGTGCCAATGGTTCCACGAATGGAAACAGAACGTGGACAAGGCGGCTTTGCTTGGACAAACTCTGCATGTATTTTACTTCAATGGCCGTGTAGGCCGTGGGAAGCTATCATGGGAGGAACTCTCAAACGAAACTGCTGTCAAGGAAGCTCGCCGTTACGGTGGTCTTGGCGCATCCCAAACAGCTGAGGTAGCCTACCTGGAGCGGTGTAGTTACAGCTACGAAGAGCACGATACTATCGAGTTTTATAAGTTCATGGCATCGCCTACGGAAGCCTTGAATCAAAAGCCCGGCATCAATGGGGATGTGCTTCCCTAAGGCACGACTCAACGATTCAAGTTTCACCTGCTGGGCTATTATTGAAGACCATATCGCCATATCACTAACTCTTAAAATGCGGCCTCATCGAAAAAGTTGGGGTTTCCTTGCAGTCCACCTTCACATGCCACGGAGCGGTGATGAGCAAAGCGCAGTGTTGCGGTCTCTCGACCCCCTCAGCTCTCAGCAGGAGACCCTAAACCCCAAAAACCCTAAAGCCTAAACCACCTAAACCCTAAACTAGCCCGGACTCGGAGCTGCGCGGCTGCCCTTCCGGGATCTGCGGGAACACGTGGCCAAGATGGGCGCGGGGCGGGGCATGGGCTTAGGGCTGGTTGGGACTGGTGGTGATACAAAAGATTTCAGCTGGCGAGCCAAGGCACGCCAGCTGAAATCTTCTGTAAAACCACCAGTCAACCACCCCTAAGCGCGACAGCGGGGGAAGGTGCTGACGGAGACGTCCTCAAGCTATCATGCTGGATGGGTGCTATGACGAGTGCGTGGTGAAGCGGCAGTGATGAGAAGTAAACCATCCCACAACTCTTTCTGGAGGCCAGGACCCAGAGTCGGCTCTCATTCCGGGTTTCTTATAAACCCTTTAAACCAAAAGGGGCAATCTTGTTATTCCTAGGTTGCTCCTGGGTCTAGGCGTTGGGAGGATCCTGAGGCCATAAACATCCTAAGCGCGCCCCGAGAGCGGGTCTCTGGAGAGGTTTCGACGGAGGTTTCGCCCTAAACCCTAAACCCTAAACCCTGAACCCTTTAAACCCTAAGCCCAAAGCCCCAAAGTGGGGCAGATGCAAAGGTGAGGAGCAACCCACCTAGAAAGGTTAAACGACCTCCTTGACGTCGGACCCTGGAACCAGGAAACCCTTCACCCTGAACCACGACTTCGGCAGCCTGCCTTTTTTGGGGTTTAGGGTTTAGGGTTTAGGCCTTGCTCAGTCGGTTCCTGGCACCTTCTGTTGTGTTTCCCTCTTGCTGGGGCTTTGTGAGGGTCCGGATTGCTGAGCTTCGGGATTACCCAAACCCCACGCTCACGCCAACATAAATGATTCTTGATAAGACAGCACCTTCCAAAGCTCTGGAGTCTGATGTCAGGCAACTTCCTGGACCGATGCTGTCAGCTGCCGTTGAACATCCAAGCCGAGAAGGGGCAAGAAGACCTCGAGGTCTGACTTTCTGACGTTTGGGCTCGGGGAGGTGCTGCGGGTTTGTGGCCACAGTGTGTGTATTGCTTAGCCCTCTCCGCCCCTCTTCCCCCCCCCGCCCCCACCCAGTTGGGGTGGAGGCGGGGTAGGGGGGCGGAGGGGGGTGGAGGGGGAGGGGAGGGGGGGAGTGTGGGGGGCGGGGTGGAGGGGTAGTGGAGTGGGGGCGGGTGGAGGGGTGGGGGTGTTGGAGTGGATGGAGGGGTGGAGGGTGGGGTGGAGGGGTGGAGGGGTGGAGGGGTGGAGGGGTGGATGGAGGGGTGGAGGGGGTGGAGGTGGAGGGGTGAGGAGGTGTGGAGGGGTTGGAGGGGTGGAGGGGGTGTGGAGGGGTGTGTGGAGGGGTGTGGAGGGGTGTGGAGGGGGTGTGAGGGGTCGGGGGAGGAGGAGGGGGAGGAGGGGGAGGAGGACGGCCTGACGCGGCGCTCTACGGAGGTAGTACGAAATACCTGTTCGTGTGTTTACATGTCCGGGTGTTTAAAAACCGGCACCGTACTGCGCAAGGCTGTGCATGGGTCTCAGCATTGCAGTGTTTCCGGTCTTCATAGTGTTTTCCCAGATTGACGCCAACTTCTAAGGGAGGATCAGCTATTTCGGGGTTTCGTTCTGTTCTCGGGGCCCCTTGCTCTTCAGCGTTTCGGAAGTTCTTCACTTCTTTAACGGGAGTGGATTGCTTCTTCTCCTGATTCCTGCTTGCTTGTCATGCCTAGCTTTGCCACTCAGAGGGGCTGGGAAGCCCAAAGGGCTCTAAGCACGGCTGAGAAACCCAAAGACACCCTGAAGCTTTAAGAGCTAACGAGTGCCAAAGAAACCCAAAACATTTTTAGACGAAAGTGTTATCGCATTGAAAAAGGCATGCTTTTCAAACTTTTCGCCGCCCGAAAACTCCAAACTGTAAGAACAGAGAGAAGCCTCCGCGAAGCACCCGGGAAGTAAACACGAAGAGTGGGGCCCTGGCTAACATTCCCTACTCCGCAAACACCTGGGGTATTGCTCGTCTGCAGCAGCCTGGTCAAGAGTCAAGAGTGGATGTTCCATTTCCTCCAACATTCTCCTACTTACTCCTGTTTGGGCATTTACATGCCTTGTTGATTGTGTGCTTATGTAGCTGGCTAGCTGTATACCGTAGCTACCCAACTGTATCTACGTCTACGTATAGATACTTGCCCAAGAAAGCGAGTGCTCCTGTAGCAGCGACGAGGCGACTGATATGCAGATTGCAGTTGTCGTACAATGTAGTGGCAGCCTTGAAACTTGGGTCAAACAAAACAAAAAAAGGATGAAACAAACAGGGATCAACAACAAAACCTAAACCCTAGGACCTGAACTCTAGGCCCTAAACCCTAAATCCTAAACACTAAACCGCAAAGCCTAAACCCTAAACCCTACTCCCTAAACCCTAAACCCTAAATTCTGTAATCCTGGAAATCTCCCAGCAAATTCATTAAACCATCAATTTAAAGGACGGGGATGGGAAGTGAGAATTTAGGGTGTTCCCGAACCCCTAAAAGTAGAAAAGTTGGGTGGATGCCTGCGTAGGCAGGGGGTGGAAAAACACAACAACCCAACCCTTCTGGTTACGGTGGCTCCAAACTCCAAATTCAAAAAACGCCGCCGCGATATATATATATATATATATATATATATGTATATATATATATATATGCCGCCCCTCACTGGGTGTTGGGGCGCCATCTCCGCATGAAATCTACTGCCGCGGCGCGGCGAGAAGCCCTAAACCCTAAACCCTACACCCTACACCCTAAAACCCAAAACCCTACATCCTAAACCCTCACCCTAAACCGTAAACCCTAAACCCTCGCAAGAACTACTCGTAGCTTGTTATAATCCGACCTGTCGCGTCGCATGTGTACATTTCTTTGCCGTTTTCACAGTGAGTTGACAATGTTCGGCTTCTGGATGATTTTCACGACGTCTTTTCCGGAAGATGTGAGACTATAGAGGCACGAGCCATCCGATAAAACCCAGGTTCAGGTTGCTTTGTGCATTGTTCCATGGGACATGTGCATGACATGTCTCCACACCCTTGAGCCATGTAGCTGCCTCCGATGGCGAAGCGGAAGCGGCAGGGGAAGGCGCCTGAGCCCAAGCGCTCCCGCACCCAGCTGAACAATGCCAGGACCCACATCAAATCGATGCACCAACAGCCCGAAGCCGTCCCTAAGCCTTAAGCCTAAAACCCTCTTCGCATGACCCGAACCTCTCAAGACCCCAAACCTTGAACCCGAACCCCCTCTTGCAGGAAGAGGGCGGCGAAGAAGCGGGCGAAGGAGCAAGCCAAGCGCACCGACCCTTCCTTGGTGCGGGGTGTCAGGTCAAAAGGAGGTTGAGGGCTGAGGGGCCTTGTGAGGTTCGTAGGAGTTTAGGGTTTTAGGGGTACAGCTTCTTCAAGCGCACCTGGTGACAGTCTTGGAGTCTCTTTCGGGCCCTCCGTCTCTCAGACAACATTCCCCTGCGAGGTCTACATCGAGGATCCCTTGGCTGCGCCGACGGTGAGAAGCGCCAAGGGCTGGTTCGCGAACCTGGGAGCAAAGCTCTCCTTGCGGCTCGGGCCAGTGGAAGGCTCGTCGCAGCTTTGCCATCTTAGGGAGGTGGGCCCTCTTTTTTTTTTGGTGCCGCTTTTTTGGTTTAAGGTTTAAGGAATCGGTCCTCTGACCCCTCGATGTCGGAGGCTGGCGAACGTCGGCCAAGCTGGCGGTGCGCGCGGGCGCCGCCGGCCCCCGCATCGGGCTTTTCGTGCCAAAGTCCCACGACGTCGTCCCCATCAACGGCTGCGCTGCCCACCATGCCTCCATCAACGCGGCCTTGGAGGCCGAGCGCTTGGGCTGTCGGGGCGCCGGCTTACATGTGCGACATGTACGTCTAGTGACCCAATGGTACCGGTGTATCATCTCATGATGTATTGATGGAATGGTATGATATACTAAGTAGTGCATAATACGGCAGTCGGCCTTGTTGTGGCTGGCCTGCATCATCCCTCGAGAAGTGTCGGCCGTTGCTCGGATCTAGATCCCTGGCCTTCACAGCCTTCTTGAGGCTGCACCTCTTAAACCCCAAACCCCAAACCCTAGACCCTAAACCCTAAACCGTCCTAAACCATCCTAAACCCTAAATCCTAAGCCCTGAACCCTAAGCATCACGAGGCCATCACTACGGCGTGCAAAGCCGCGAGAATCAGTGGCTACGACGAAGGCAAAGGCGAAGGCAGGCATTTTGGGGGGGCCAAATGAACAAACCCTAAGCCTTTAACCCTTAACACCCTCAAGCCCAAAACCCTATGCTACTCTACTTTCGATGACAGTGTATATGGAGCCCTATTCCCACAAGCGGGCTTCGGGGGGGGGGGGGGTGGCTGCCTGTGGCCCCCAAGAAGGCGATCTGCGCTACGTGAAGCTGGAGGTGGAGCGGTCCACTGAGCTCGTGCAGGTCACCCTGGTATGGCACGCGAGCTCCCAGGAAGAGGCTCAGCTCGGGATCTCGTGGGGGGATGGGGAGTGCCTCGGACCTCTGATTCCCTCTCAGCATCTAGGGCCCCCCCTTTTCGCTCAGCAGCCCGAAGGTTGGTGGGGGTCGTACGGTCGCAAGCTCTCTGAGCGCGATCCCTATCACCCGAAAAAAACCGAACTCTACGAGCCCCAACTGTGACGCAGGCGGGCAAGCCGCTTCGCAAGCTGACAAAGGCACTTCAACAATCTGCGGAGCTGTCCGGCACCCAGACTCAGTCCTTCGGGGGGAGTGCGGGGGAAAGGTGAGCATACCCTGACAATCATGGGGGGAAATGGGGTACAGATTCTATGGATTCTATGGGTATAGGGTTGAGGGTTTAGGGTTTAGGGTTCAGGGTTGAGGGTTTAGGTTCAGGGTAGTTGGCAACTTGTCGGGTTTCTCCGCTCAGACATCAAATTGTGCAAAATGCTTCCAAACCTTTATATAATGAGGGGTTGCAATCGAAACCAACTGGATCACAACAAACATGCATTCAGTTTTTAGCACCCAGACGCTCAGGTTTTATGTGTCTTACACATTAAGTCTAAACGAAACATGTGAAGTCTAAGAACTATTTGTCTAAGCTTCAGAATTGTAGGTATTTGAGCTGAGCAAGAAGAACCCTCAAGGTATCAGCCTGAATGTATGCACACGGGTGTTCCGTCTGGGCGTATTCGTAGAATTGAAGACATGCTTCAATGTCGCTTGATACCTGCAGGGGGGAGGGTCTTAAGAGTGCAGCGCCCAAGCTTGTCTCGGGTCAGAGGAAAGGGTGGGGGCTTTCTTCTGCTGGGCTTTGGGGGCTTTTGGCTGTGACATGTAGTCTCCCAAGCTTCCTGCACGCCTTGTCTCCCAAGCCGTAGGTGTTTAGGGCTTGAGGGGTTTAGGAGGATTGGGGTTTAGGGCTGAGCTTGCGCAGGTGGCACTCGATATGGGCAAATTTCCACGCGGCAGACAAGCATACCTCCCGCATTCTGGCCTTCGAGAAGGAGGCTTCGTCTGCGAGGGGGGGGGGGGGGGGGGGCAGCCCCGAGATCCACCCAAGGGGCTCTCCCCCAAGCCCCAAAAAGCATCCCAACACCCTACGCCCCAAAATCCCCACACCCCAACTGGAACCCGAAGCCGGCTTTGTTGCTGGTAGGGAACCCAAGGGTTTGGGGTTTAGGGTGTAGGGTTTACGGCTCTTAAAGGTAAGGCCTCCCCTCCTTCCAGCCCCGGGGGAGGCCTGGGTGCAGCTGTCCGGCTCCAAGCGCTGGCTGCGCGAGGCGCTGTCCAGGAGCCCTAGGAAGGTTGACTTGTTTTGTTGCGCCTTTTGTTTAGGGTTTAGGGTTTAGGGTTTAGGGTTTAGGGTTTAGGGTTTAGGGTTGTGATTTGTTCACATCGCCTTTTGGTTTTCAAATTCTGGGACTCGAAGCCCCAACCGACCCCCACAAGGGGGGTTCTCGATGTTCCAATTGGTCCTGGGAGCCCGAAAGGAGCAGCCCCAAGAACCACGGGTTCAGGGTTTAGGGTTTAGGGTTTAGGGTTTAGGGTTTAGGGTGCTGAACTTCTCGGTGTTTCCGGGGGGGTGGGTGGGTAGGGTCGCTTCGTCGTATCCTGTTCTGACACGGAGCCTTCTGCTTCTCGAGCTAAGGGACCCGACGTACATCCAGTAATTTCACTCTTACAGGGACTCAAGCCCTAAACCCTAAGCCCCAGACCCGAAACCCAAAACCCGAAATCCTAAACCCTAAACCCTAAACCCTAAACCCTAAACCCTAAACCCTAAACCCTAAACCCTAAGCCCGTAAACTTGGCAAGGAGCGGGGCGCCGTACCACTGCGAGCTTTGCTTCCCTCCCTTTGTCTTCCGCCACTGGGACAGCGTAAAGTTGAGTGCCCTGATGGGTGGCGCTCGGTCTTGAGTTTTTCTTGTCTTGCCCTAAGCCCTCAGCCCTCAGCCCTCAGCCCTCAGCCCTCAGCCCTACACCTTGAACCCTAAACCCACCTAAACCCCAAACCCCAAACCCTAAACCCTAAACCCTGAAACCCTGAAAGCCTGAAAGCCCTGAGGCCAGGCAAATCTCTGTGCCTTTGAGCAGATCGTGGCGGCGGTTCGACGCTTTGTTCCGCCTGGGAGTGCCGTGGTGGACCCTTTGGCGGCAGCTGGAGTTTTCTGAAGTGAAAGGAGACATAGCTGCTAGCTGCTAGGTTTAGGGCTTAGGGGTTAGGGGTTAGGGTTTAGGGTTTAGGGTTTAGGGTTTAGGGTTTAGGGCATGTCCACCGAGGAGCTTTATGGTGGCGTGGGCACGATCGGCCTGGCACTCAGACAGCCGTGCCGGGCCTAGGGCTTAGGGCTTAGGGCTTAGGGCTTAGGGCTTAGGGCTTAGGGCTTAGGGCTTAGGGCTTAGGGCTTAGGGCTTAGGGCTTAGGGCTTAGGGCTTAGGGGTTTGGGGTTTGGGGTGTGGGGTGTGGGGTTTGGGGTTAGACTTGAGGGTTCTAGGATTTCCTTAAGGGACCGCCCTGACGTACCGGATGTTGACTAATCACTCCCAGCTTCTAAGAGCTCACGGAAGTGAAAAGATACACAACAATTGCGGTATGTTCTGGGGGGAGCGGGGGGTTACATACATATGCATACACATGCATGTCTTCATGTCTATGTACATAACTATATATATGTATAGACAAACATATGTATATCTTTATACAAATATACGCATCTATACAATACAAATACATATCTACACATATTATGCATATGCGTATACCTATACCTGTTGTAGGTTCGTTTTTCTAATCCCCGTGCCATATCAAATTGCCCTCAGTTCCTGGTGAGGTCTACACCTGGCCGACTTGGCTGGACAAGCCGGCTAAGTCTTACGTCTTACTTGCTGCCGTCAACCTTTGAAAGCTGCACTGGTTTAAGGGTTTCGGGTTTGGGTTTAGGGACTAGGGTTTAGGGTTTAGGGTTAGGGTCTAGGGTTTAGGGTTTTGAGGGTTGAGGGTTTAGGGTTTGGGGTTCCCTCCGCTTGGCAGACTCCCTCGTGTGCAGCGACGAGAATCCCTTCAACCGCGCGTGCTTCCGCCGCAGCGCGCGGCCCCAGCCGAGCGCAGAGGGGAGATTGGCCTGCTGCGGGGTCCCCAAGAATGTGCTGCTGCATTAGAAGACTGCTATATTCTTATGCGAATACATCGTGTTAGTAGAACAATACAGTGATATAGGCGTACCAGAATATCATCATCTAGTCCGAGCACTCGTATTCCTATAACAATATATTGATATGCCAGTTTTGGAATATCGTCATGAAATCTAAACGCCCGGCGCGCCACAGCTTCAAGGTGTGAAAGGCTTGCCGCCCGAGCTGCAGCAACTTGGAAGCAATGCCTGGCTACTCGGAGGTTCATGGGAACTTATAAGAAAGGCTATAACTAGGGTGACTACGATTAGAACCTCACATAGGGGATTCATAACGCAATTCATAAGTATAAGTACCCAGGAACCTTCAAGTGCTTGTACCACCGCTTGCAAGTCATCGTCCAGTTTCTCCAGCTCTTGGCTCAAGCTGATCTGGGTCCTGACTTCCCTGTGGTTCTCAAATGTAGGGTATAGGTAGGGTATAGGGTGTAGGGTATAGGGTTTAGGGTTTAGGGTTTAGGGTTCAGGGTTTAGGGTTCAGGGGTCGGGCCAGCGCCTTCGAGTCGGGATGCTTCATCCTGGCATGGGGAGCCATGACCGAGTCGCACGGCAGCAGGAAGAGACAGGAACTCCCCTTGAAGTGCCGGGTTTAGGGTTTAGGGTTTAGGGTTTAGGGTTTAGGGTTTAGGGTACTTTTAATTACGAATAGGGTTGTAAGTCCCTGAAGTAAGGTCATCACCATAGGTACCCCAGCCAGAACCTTACTTCTCAGTAGCCTCGGGCTGGGGGGTGGGGGGGGGGCAACCCCAGCGTAGGCGGTCCGGAACCTCACGAATCAGATCCTCTCCAACAAGGACTGGGGAAGGGCGTAGGGTGTAGCGTCTGACCGAGTAGATGTTTCTTTTGGCTACAGTAGACCCCACAAAGTTGGAACATGGTTTAAGGACGATTAGTGCTGGGATTCCCTTTGGGAACCCTCTTGGGGTATGAGGATAATGATGTTCCAACTTTTGGGAGTTTACTGTAGAGAGATGGGTGCATCATGCGCGTGAGGAGGACGTGGCGAAGTGCCAGGAGCGGCTTGGAGAGATGGCTGGCAAGCTGGAGGGCCAGAAACGGGATCTCGGCTTGCTGCGCATCGCGGATGCTTGATTGCACTGGCCACTGCGCTTTAGGGTTTAGGGTTGAGGGTTGAGGGCTGAGGGCTTAGGGCTTAGGGCTTAGGGTGGCTTCTTGAGGCTTTTTTGCTGGTTTTCTTTTGAGCGCTGGCATGCTTGGCTGACTCCGACCTTTCACAGCTGAGGGCAGTTGGAAGAGTGCTGAGCACGCCAGGGTGGCAGAAGAGAAGCGCAGTCTCAGTTTGGAGGACCAGATGGGGTGGTGGGAGAGTGTTTTGGGGGCTTCCGAAATAGGGGGACCCTTTTCGGGGGTCCATGTAGGGACTCCTAAACCCTAAACCCTAAACCCTAAACCCTAAACCCTAAACCCTAAACCCTAAACCCTAAACCCTAAACCCTAAACTAGTGGTTCTACTCTACTTTTTGGGGAAGTGCCATTTGTGAAGGAGCAGGACCTGATCGAGGAAGTCGAGGGACTAAAGCAGGCACTTGAGCGATCGAAGCTACGCGGCCGCGATGTTGGTTGTGGCAGGGTCTTGTGGCGCGTTTTTGGGGGGTTTGGGGTTTCGGGTTTGGGGTTTAGGGTCGAGAACAAATTCTCATGTTATATATTCAGTTGAAGAGTAGAAGAGAAGAGAAATGGTACAAGATATTAACATAAACAACAGCAAGAAAGCAAAAGTTAAAATGAAAGCAGCGCTCCCTGCCTCGTGTGGCGTGCCTCAGATCTCGGGGCCGGTCAGGTCCAGAGCGGTTCGGGCCCCTCGTGCTTCCGGCGAGGGTTCGCTGCCGCTCGAGCTTCTCCTGCTCCGGCCCTAAGGGGTCTTTAGGGCTTTGGGGCTTCAGGGGTTTTGGGGGTTTTGGGGGGTTTAGGGGGTTTAGGGGTTTAGGGTTTAGGGCTAGGAGTGTCAAGGGCTTAGGGTTTGGGGCGTGAGTGAAGAGAGAAGCAGCAGCTGAGTCGAGCCCCGACACCCAGCCAGTCACGAGGCCCCGACGCCTGGCAAGGCTCCGAGAACGCGTGCAGCTCTGGGAGGAGGGTGTGCTTTGAGGGTCCATGGGTTGGGGCAGAGATTCTGGGTTTAGGGCTTTGCGGCTGTAATTAGGGGGCTTTAGGGATTTTGGGGCTAGGGTGTAGGGCCGGGTTTGGGGTTGAGGGTTGGGGCATGTGTAGGGTTTCATGTTCTCTGCACACTGTGAGTCGCGGGCGCGAAGGATCTCATCCGATTCCGCCAGTACCGCCTGGACCAACTTCGCGAGCAGGCCGTTTCGGTGGTGGCTGTCTTCAGCTTTACCAAAATTGGGTTTCGGGTTTCGAGTGTAGGGTTTCGGGTTTAGGGTTTAGGGTTTAAGTTTAGGTTTAAGGGTTTAGGGCTTGCGGTTCCTTTTGGGTAATTACCCTGAACATGAGGCTCCTTATCATAGTCGGGGCCCTCCAACAAGGACCACAAGTTGGCAGAGCTGCCCATGCAAGAATCGAGTCACGCCAATGCCGGCAAATGCCAGCAAAGAGATTCCAACAACCCATTCAGCAACGCATCGTTTGGTGATGATGTATGTGCGGCGACCGTAAACCAGATTTTTTCGGCGAACCCCGAGTAGCCGAAGTTGTCCAAGCATGTTCCTTTTTCCGTTACCTTTCTGGTCTCTGGTACTTGGGGGTTCATGGGTACCTATAGCCCCAAATATTTTTATCAGCCCCCTAAATCATCTAAGTAGGTCATAAGTAGACTTATCCTTTTGGTTCGAAGTACCCGTGAACCTCCAAGTAGTGCTGTGCCAACGATGTGCGTCCTCTGCCACACTTCTGGGTATGGCTCCCTGTCTTTGACTAGAGCTGCTGTCTCCGTCTCAAGCAGCTGCTAAAGAACAACCCTGACGAAAGAAAGGTAGCCCGAAACCCTAAACCCTAAACCCTAAACCCTACGAAGTAGACCCGAAGTTTGAATCTCCGGAAGGCCTTGGCGACTCAGCTTCAAAGTGAGCGGCTCCGTGCGCAGGCCGCGCATCTCCGTGAGGAAGCGGCTCCTTGTCCGCTGAGCTGGCCCTAAACACCGACCCCGAAGGCCCGAAACCCACTCCCTAGACGCGAAACACCCTAACTCCCTAGCCCTAAACCTTAAACCTTAAACCCTAAACCCTAAACCCTAAACCCTAAACCCTAAACCCTAAACCCTAAACCCTAAACCCTAAAACGGTCTCGCCGAGGCACGACTGCGTGCCGCCCGCCAGCGAGCCGACGAGGCGCTGTCGGTGGCCAAGGCGCGCCTAGAAGAGCCGAAAAGGGTTTAGGGTCTAGGGTTTAGGGTCTAGGGTTTAGGGTTTAAGATTTAGGGTTTAGGGTTTTAGGGTTTAGGGTTTAGGATTTAGGGTTGGGAACATCCAAGTTGTTTAAAGAAAAACCATGTTAAACATCAACAACCGCCATAAGACATGCAGCCATGGTGTGGCGAATCTTCACAGTCACAGGCAGCGACAAACTTTGGAACTGGGTTGCTGGAGCCTGGGCCCAATTTCTTCCACACATCCAAACCTTGCAGGCCCGAAAAAACCGTAAAGCCCCTCAAAAAACAACCTCAGCACCCTACTAAACACTCTACACTGAACCTCAAAAGCAACAACATTGGACCCGATCTGATCAGAATGATATAGAAGAAGGATTGCAAGGTGATAAAATTTATTTAGCATTCGATTAATATAACAGAACCATGTAAGGGTTACAGGTGGATAGTATTGGCAGTATTGGTAGTTACTTCACCCTAAACCTAAACCCTGAACCCTGAACCCTTAAAAGGGATGATAATCGGCTACTATGATTCCCTATTAAGGACTGTTAGTAGAAGGGGAAACGTCCCAAGGAACAACAGTCACGGCAACCCTCAACAGGGGCCCATATTGTTGGATCTAAGGGAATCCTACTATTTGGGGGTCCATATAGGGGTCCCTATTCTCATAAACTCCCATGTGGATCCGCCACCATGAAATTCGAGCTCCGCTTGGAGGGTTCATGGTACTTGACACATTATGACTGTACTTATAACCCACTTATGAGCCCCTTAAGTGCCCTAATGGGTTATAAGTGCAGTTATAGTTGGTTAAGAAGTACGATGAACCTCCAAGCGACCCACAGCAAACTGGACCACCCGGAAGACGCGAGGAGGAAGTGCGCTGGGCCCGGAGTTGCAGGCGGAGTCTGATTTTGGGTTTGAGCCTGAGGTTTTTTTGGGCTCAGGAGGTTCAGTGGGTTTAGGGTTTCAGGGTTTGGGGTTTGGGGTTTAAGGTTTTAGGATTTAGGAGTTAGGGTTTAGGGTTTAGGGCTGGAGGGGGAGGAGATGATACCAGTAGCTGGTGTGCAGGGTTGGGGAGTTAGGAAGTCTTGATGGCGAGCCCTGGGGTGCCTCGATCTTGTTCAACTGCATCGGCATGCCAGCGCATGAGAGCTCGGAACGCAGCCGCATTTTGGTAGTCCTGTTCTTGGTCGCAGGAGGTACGCATTCTTTCTGCCGGTGCTGTCCTCCTTGCTGACTTCACTTTGGTGGTGCTACGGATGAGACTTGGGTGAGCGGCAGGATCTAGCGAAGAAAGTGGCGTGCTTCAGCGTTGCCCCCTCAGTGCATCGCTTTTTGTTAGGCTGTTGATTGCACTCTGGGACGCGCCATGGAAGTCGAGCTCCCGGATGTGGCCCGTGATAGGTCATATTTTTCTTTGCAGATTGCATATGCCCTGCGAAGCATCTTGATTTGGCCTGGCATCCGTGGGCAGTCAGGTGTGCAGAGACGAATTCGGAACGCAACCCTGGCAGGCGTTTAATGATGCATGCCTGCTGTGTGGAGTGGCAAAGAATCTAGCTCCAGCATAGGTCGAATAGTGGAGACTTACTTGGAGGTTCATGGTACTTATTAACCAATTATAGCCTGTACCTATACCCCACTTATAAGCCCCCGAAGTGCCCAATTATGGTGATAAGTACAGTTGTAAGTACAGTTACACCTGGTTAGTAAGTACCATGAACCCCCAAGTACCAGCAATGTCTTGATCCCACTGAAGGAAGGAGTGACATGAGCATGGGGATGGGCGGCTCGAACGCGAGAAAAATGCAAAACGGCTGGGCAACGCACTTCTCGCTCGCCTCATCTGTTCCAAGGGCTCTTTAGGGTTAGGGTTCAGGGTTTAGGGTGTAGGGTTCAGGGTTTAGGGTTTAGGGTTCACGGTGTCTTGATAGCCCGAGCCGTTTGAGTGCATCTTGGTGCCAAGGCAGAAGCTCAGCTACGTGTCGGGCGACGCAGCTTCGCAGGAGGGGCCGAAAGGATCCCATTATACCGCCTAAATTCACCCTGAACCCTAAACCCTGAACCCCTGAACCCCTGAACCCCTGAACCCCTGAACCCCTGAACCCCTCAACCCTGAACCCTCTACAAGGGTCTAGAGACCTCTACATCTCCTATGGCCCCCCTTTCATAGGTTGACAGCATCCCGGCAGCGGACGTGGTCATCGTGGACCCTCCACGGAAGCGCGGGCACTCAGCGACGAAGGGAGGGGTGACCTGGGGTTTATCACAGAGCCCCCTTGCTCTTGCTTTCGGGTTTAGGGCTAGGAACTTCCCCCCCGCCGGCAAACTATAAAAGAGAAAGAAATACAACAAACAAAAACAGGGTACCCCTATAGGAAACCCCAAACATGGTCTGGCTTTTTGAGCTTTTGAACGCGCAGAGGCGCAGGGGCTTTGTGTCTGTTTGAAGATCAGCTGTGTGCCCTGCCGTCAGGGGCATGGAGGATGTGGTGATCGATGCCCTCATCCGAAGGCGCCAGGCTCAAGAGTTCGGGGTTGGTTTTTTTTAGGGTTTGGGGTGTGTAAATCCTAGACCCCTAGCCCCAAACCCTAAACCCTGTTAGGTTGCCGGATTTAGGGTTCATTCCCGCAGCCACGCCAAGGCCGAAGAGAAAGGCGTCCAAGCCATATCGGCTCATTTACGCCAGGCTCTCGGCTGTTCTTGTCATGATCCGGTTTGTGAGAGGCCCTATACTTATACTCAAGATGGGAGTTTACGAAAATAAGGGGCCCCTATAGTAGACCCACAAATAATAGGATTCCCTTATAAGAAGGTACCTAATTTCGGAAACCCCATATCCTGACCCACACAGCGCCGGCTTTGCCAGAGGTGAGTTGTGGCTTTCCGGCCTTTTGTCGTGATGCTGAGAAGCTGCTGGAGCATGGCTGGTCGGCCAGAGTCCTAGATGCGCGGGCACGCTGCAGCTGGCTTTGCTTGTGAAGTCTGTCACATCCGAGACACCCGGTGACTTTCAATAGCAAGCATGTTCTGACCCTAAACCCCAAACCCCAAACCCCAAACCCCAAACCCTAAACCCTAAACCCCTCAATCGCAGGCGTGTCCTGAAGGCTTGCAGCATCAGGGGAGTCCTACTCGTGCCCCCAAAGGATGTTCCCCCTATGAGGTTCCCTTAATATTCTCCTAATATAGCTGGATTGGGATGTTCACCAATTATACTAACAGTCCTATATAGGGGGTGCTATGGGGGGTACTAGAATCCCTATTCAGGACTGTTAGTAAAAAAGGGGGATTATCCCCAAAATATGGCCCTTGTATTCCTGTAGAGGACAAAAGGGCTCCCCCAAACCCAAGGGTACTACCTGAGGGTTCCAAGGTAGAGGCCCACGACAACATGACATGAACCTGGTTGTTAAGGTGCTCCATGCAAAGGGCTTCGTGCTCTTCCCCGGTGCGGACCGCCCTCTTAGGGTTTAGGGTTTAGGGTTTGGGTTTAGGGTTTAGGCTTTAGGGTTAGAGTTTAGGGTTTAGGGTTTAGGGTTTAGGGTTTAGGGTTTAGGGTTGAGGGTTGAGGGTTGAGGGTTGAGGGTTGAGGGTTTAGGGTTTAGGGTTTAGGGATGCGTGCTGCCACCTTCGCCCCCTCCCACCATTGCAAGCCTGCCTCTGAACTAAGAACACCAGGACCATCTGGAGACGTTCTGCGTGTTCGAACGAACCTGACAGAGGGTGACGGCATCCAAGGCAACGTGTTGCTCTGACTTGTTGCATGTTGGCTACTTGCAGATGTGGGGGGGGGGGGGGGTTCGAAATGATGGGTACCTTCTTGGGGCCCGTACTATAGTTAAAAAAAGGAATCCAATTCTTTGGGGGGACAATATTAGGGGTCCCTGATTTTCGTAAACTCCCATGTAGTTCCGGCAGTCGCAGTCGTACTTGTAGATGGAGCGGCGCTCGTCGGGATCCTGTACCGAGATCTGGCAACATCCCAGGCCTGGGGCGCATGATCTTGTATGATCCCTGCGTATCTCATGTAGGTGAACTCTCCTCTTCGGATGGCATCTTCGCATTGTGATGCACTCTGCCGCCCTTCATCATGCTGGTCTGCCTCGTTAGACATGACTTCAGCGTAGGCTGACATGAGACCCAGAGTATTACGGAGACTTGATCCACAAGCTTACCGACATCCACAAAAAAACCTGCAACGGAGGAACAGACCGCAACATCCCACAGCCCCCTTACTCGGCCCGATCGGGGCCTCTCGCAGCAATGGCCTGGGAGGTGATCGGCGGTGGGGACAAGGGCGGCATCCTCGTGCGCAGCGGCCAGGCCACCAGCAGCGACCAGCTCCCTGAGCGGCTGAGCACGGGGGCCCGGGTGGAGGAGCCGAAGAGCGATGGCGGGCTGCTCAAAGTTAGGGTTTAGGGTTTAGGGTTTAGGGTTTAGGGTTTAGGGTTTAGGGTTTGGGGTCTAGGCTTTAGGGTTTAGGGTTTACAAAGAGCGCTGGTGGGCTGCTCACCGAGTCATTTTGCTAGTATGCTTATGAATAGCGTTACCATTCTTACGATTATTGCTATTATTCTATGAGTACTACTACTATTACTATTAGTTTTTAATATCCTTATTGTTTCTGTTATCACTATCTTGCTATATTATCAGAGCTCATTTTTCTGTTGCAGACCTTCTGATCATGTATACAGATACATATGTAGATGCATCTGTAGATGAGCTGTTCAGGTATGTGTATGTGTCTGTGGATTGTGTATGCATGCGTAAGCAAGTACGATGAAGAAGGAGGTAAGTAAGTAGGTAAAATAGGTACATATACACATGCATAGTGGTTTTACCCTTGACAATGACAAGATCACTTGTAAGTCTTGCTAACCCTGAACCCGAAAAATCCCTCAATACTCTAAAAGCAATAAACTCGCCCAACAAAACCCAAAAGCCCTAAACCCTCCAAACCCTAAACCCTAAAATCCCTCAAAGCCCTAAATAGCCTAAGCCCTAAACCCTAAACCCTAAACCCTAAACCCACTGGAAACCCTGTCTTGCTTTGAGGAGGTTGAGCTCGTGGGGGAGCGCTTGCACTACAAGCTTCTGTCAGGGACCGGCCCTGCAACTGGCTGGGTGAGCATCTCCCTGAAGGACAAGCCCTTGTTGCAGCTTGCTGATTCTTAGTAGCCCTAAACCCTAAACCCTAAGCCCTATAAACCCTAAACCCTAAACCCTAGAACCCTGTGGCAGCTTGCTGGTTCTTCGCAGGGCGTGTGGATCTATGTCCCCGAAAGGCCGTACTCCCTTAGAGGGGTTGGTTCTAAAGGTGGAAGTTGAGGCACCCTACTTCCCTAACCCTAAACCCTAAACCCTAAACCCTAAACCCTAAACCCTAAACCCTAAACCCTAAACCCTAAACCCTAAACCCTAAACCCTAAACCCTAAACGCTAAGGCAGCGAGTCGGGGACGCCGGGGACGCGGACGCCAAGGAGCCCAAGGAGGCCAAGAAGGAGGAGCTCCGGGAGGGCGACTACTACGTGACTTTGGGGGTCCTCTTCAAGAAGGTTGGCACGGACCCTGAGAAGGCGTCGATCACCAAGCTGAAGCGTAGCGTGGGCTCCGTGGTGCACACCACGGGGAAGGTGTGGAGGGGCGGGGGTGGCGGCTACTGGGCCGAGCTGGACGTGGGCTCGGGCGACTCGGGCGCGGGCGAGAAGCCCGGGTACGTGATGATCGACGCCAGCGGCTTCGGCACGCCGGGGCCCTGCCTGCAGAAGGCCTCCAAGGACCATGGGGTTACCCTACAACCCCCCTTACATAACCTAAATTAGGCTTCATTATCCCTAAATAACCCTCATTATGGGGGGAACCTAGGGGGGGGGGTAGTTTTGAGGGGTGTAGTAGGGGAACCCATGCAAGTTTCTTAGTAGGGAATGAGGGAATGAGGTGCCCTATATACTCCCTTAAAGGGTATATATATATATAGGGTACCTCATCCCCTCATTCCCTACTAAGAACCAGCCCGTCAGGAGGACGGGGAGATCATCCTCCTGAAGTCCAAGCCCCGCACGGAGGTCAAGCCCTGGGATGATGGCAGCGTGGAGAAGGACCCGGTATTATGCCCTCCGCATGTTCTTGATATTTCCCTCTATGTTGGGTTTAAGAGGAGCATGTTCAGGAATATTATTTCTCCTACATTGGGTTGAAGAGGATCCTGTTTAGGAATATGATTTCCGGAATTTGATGTTCTCCTCTACGTTGGGTTTAAGAGGGTCATGTTTAGGAAGTATTTTTTTCAGAGGGCTTTAAGGGGCCATCCGAGAGGAGTTCCTGGTCCTGAAGAAGACGACGGTGGCCGAGGTGAGGGTCATCCTAGGGATGCTGTTCAAGATCGCCAAGGCCGAGGCCATCACGGTGCTGTCAAAGGACGGAGGGCCGCTGGCACCCGAGACCAGCGTCCAGGAGGCGGGCTTCCGAAGTGGAGATGCTTACTCTTCGCCTTAAAAGTTGAACTTTAAGCTTTTTGGGTTTCCTTATTTAGTAGGAATATTGAAGTTTAACCTTATTCCTCACCCTTGGTTAATGGAGAAGTAAGGACGACTGCGCCTTCGAGAGCTCCGAGGGGAAGTCCCTGAAGCTGGTCGTCATGAGTCCCCTCGAGGAGGGCGTGAAGCTCACGGATCTTGACATCAAGAGCGACTGGACGGTAGGCCAGAGGGCCAGAGGGTCGGGGGGGAGCCAGAAGCCAACGAAAAGCTGAGCTGCTCACGAACGCCCCTAGAAATGGAAAATGGTGTAATCTGCCTGCCAATATCTATAAATAAACGAATCACAAGAATCATTATCTTAACCTCTAAACCTAAACCCTCAGCCCTAACCGCCTAAACCTCTGGTGTGCTGCCAGGACAGGTGCGGAAGCTCCTTTGCAGCACCACCGGCCTAAAGGAGGCCAGCATGATCCTAGGTGGGACTTAAACCTAAACCCCAAACCCTAAACCCCAAACCCCAAACCCCAAACCCTAAACCCTAAACCCTAAACCCTAAACCCTAAACCCTAAACCCTAAACCCTAAACCTAAAGAGCAACCAAGGATCATGGCCCGGGGCAAGATGGGGGAGCGTGTCGGCGAGGACGCGCAGCTGAACCTGTCGCACCTGGTGGTGGACTGTGGCTACTCGGTTCCTCCAGTATTCCCCCAGTAGTGCCCCTATTTCCTGTTTGTTTTGGGGGGGTTCCTTATAAAAACTGAACAATGAGACAAAAGGGACCCTTATTCTTACGGATTTACTGGGGGACCTAGGCTACAAGGAGGGGGACGAGATCGGATTTATCTACATGGGCGATACGGAGGGTGATCTGAAGGACTTCCTGTCCAAGCGGTAGCTCTGGATTGTGAGCAAGGTGGAAAGCCTCTCCGAGTCTCCCCAAAGGCATTCCGTAGCCCAAGCCCCTCTCCGCGCCATTGGCCGCGCCTGGCCATGAGAGTGGCCCTAAACCCTCCCTGCGATGTAAATCCCGGCTCGCAGCATGCTGGACGACTGTCCTATGCCATGGGATCTCGTATACTTTTGGACTAATAGCGATCTTGAGGGCCACAGCCAAAACGGTGCTGGGAGCTCCTGGTCACTCTGCCTCAGGGAGTGTCAAAAGCTGCGCTGCATGGGGATCCTAAGTTAGCTGGAAAGTTGCACTGTCACAACCTAAGCGACGTGTTCCTGCAGAAGTTCTTGGTTGTGAGGAGAACGGCCAGGCAGCCGGAGCCCAAGCCGTGTAGGGTTTGGGGCCTTTCGGGTTTGGAGTAACCCTGCACTCAAGTGTCCCAGTGCCGAGGCACATGCGGGCAAGTATGTGGCCGAGTGCGGCAACTCGACAATCTCCGGTCATTGACGTGGGCCTACCAAGCTCTGGCGCTTGCCTGTGCGGGCCGGTGCTGGTGACTGCTGGTGGTTGCGGAGCAACGCGCCTCTGCCCCGACAACGGCAGAGGGAAGGCTTTTGGCACGACTTCGCTGGTGGTCAGAACCACCAGCAAGTTGCTGTCCTCGCATTCGTGAACCTGGGACTCGAGGCCTCGAAACGAGGCTTCCATGACCACATGGAGGTTGTTCTGAATTGGGGTCCCTTTTTTGAGGTCCTCTTTCTGAAGGCTTCTCCTGGCCAGTAGAACAAGCCTCCTATGCACGCAATACAGTGGCGCTGCTCGAGGAAGATGTTGGATTCTTCAGGCCCAGCCAAGCCTTGCATTCCAAACTAAAATTCGCCGACCCAATCGGTCAAATGCTAAAATGTGTAGTAAAACGTGCCCGAAACTGAAATCATTGGGTAGGTGGGAGTCGCCTCCTCGATTGGAGTCGGAAACCCTAAACCCCTAAATCCACAGTATGAAATCCTAAACCCTAAACCCTAAACCCTAAACCCTAAGCCCTAAACCCTATAACCCTAAGCCCCTAAATCCACAGTCTGCAAAAGGGCAGTGCAAGGCAGACCCTAAACCCTAAACCCTGAACCCTCAACCCTAAACCCTAAACCCTAAACCCTATAACCCCAAGCCCCCAAATCCACAGTATCTTGGTCCACTAAAACCCATCGCCCCTCGCTGCTCAAGGATGCTTTGTCACACGGCAAAAGCAGGCGCATGGAGACAAAACCCCAGAAAAAGCACAACGTTCCTAAACCCTAAATCTAAACCCCAAACCCCGAAACCCTGAACCCTAAACCTTGGCCCTCGACCCCAAACCCCTAACCCCCATTTCTACAGGTTGCAGAGTGTTACACAGGGAGATGGGCGAAAAGCTACCGACGAAAAGCCAGATTGTTAGGTCATTGGCTATAGAGCCAATGCTCTATGCACGGTTGCAAGCGGGCACGCCTCGGCCCGTTTGTGAGGACACCGTGGCCCTTGCGAGTATGGTCGGGCAATAGCCCCATACGATCCCCATGCAATCCCTATGCATTTCGTTGTAATCCCTACACGTATCATCCTGTGTTTCTCCGCTAGACTCCCTCATATATTCCCCATGCAATCCCTTCAACATCCTTGTAGAATACCTATAAAGTATACACATAAATGTCACTAAAGATATGCAAATAAATACAAAAACACGCACATACAGTAAGCAAAGACACAAGCATGCAGAAATATACATATACATCTGCAAATAAATAAATAAATACAAATGAACAAATAAACAAATAAATAAATAAATAAAAATATATATATATATATATAATTTATGAGTATACAAGCATGAATATATAAGCCTGCTGCGCAGGACATCCGAGATTGGAGACCCTGGCTTCGATCTCGGCGGATGTGAGCAGTGCCTTTCCAGGAAGTTCGGGGGGGGGGGTGGGGGGGGGATGAATTCAGGTTTAGGGTTTAGGGTTTAGGGTTTAGGATTTAGGGTTTAGGGTTTAGGGTTTAGGGTTTGGGCTTCAGGGTTTAGGGTTTAGGGTTTACGGATGATGTACTCATCTTATGATATAGTAGTACACAGTTCTAAGAGTATGTTCATGTGTTCATACATACATGACTGACCGTATTGAGTATAATCATGTTTAAATTCGTTCATTAACTAGTCTTTTCATATTTTTGACACGTGACTACATGAGCATCATCAGTATTTTCATACATTGTGTTATATATTCATAATCTCTTGGCATATGATCAGAGGAGATGCCGTCCCACCCAGAGAGCCCAATACCCCTTAATCAAAGCACATACCTTAAACTGTACAGGGATCCTTCGTATGATTTAAGGAAAATTCCTTGATTGGGCTCTTTCTCAATTAGGGAATGAGGGAATGAGGTACCCTATATAATCCCTTAAAGGGTAAAACATATATATATATATATATATATATTTTTTTTTATAAATAGATACATAAATATAAATATAAACATAAATATAAGTCTAAATACAAATACAAATATAAATATAGATATAAATATAGATATAGATCTAAATATAAATATAAATGTAAGTCTATATATAAGTATATATGTACATATAAATAAGGGCCCTAATTCCTTCATTCCCTACGAAGAACCAGAGGGGTCTTTGGGCAGGTGCCAGGTCAAACATGGTGCCGAGAACCTGCAGAAGCCGCCGATGTCGGTCCCATCCGTGGCGGCCTCGGGGTGTCAGAGCCGAGTGGGCGCTTTTCTCTGGCAGGTTAATGGTTTAGGGTTTAGGGTTTAGGGCTAGGGTTTAGGGTTTACGGTTTAGGGCTTAGGGCTCAGGGCTTATAGATTTTTGGGCTTAGGGTCTAGGGCTAGGGTTTCGGGTTTAGGGTTTAATGTTAGAGTCGCTTTAATAACCCCCCCCCCCCCCAAATCTTGTTTTGGTCCCCGGGGTTTGGAGGGGTGGAAAAAGGGGGTGTCAATTGTGAGGATTCTGGGGGTCTGGGGTCTGGGGGTCTGGGGGTCTGGGGGGGTCAGCTGTCAGGGTGTGCTTTGCTTACTTTCAGCAAAATTTTCAATTCCTGGCCAGAGAAATTTTACAATTGCCACCCCATTCTTATTATCACTGGACCCCCTATATAGACTTGTTTACATACATCGGCCCGAAAACCTCCCGTAATGGAAAGTAGTCTTCGGCTGGGGCCCTCTGGCCTGGCGAATATTACTATTGCCACCCCAATTGAAAAAACCACTCTCACATTAGGGTTTAGGGTTTAATTTGGAGGGCTTTGGGGGTTGTAGGGTTTCGGGGTTCAGGGTTTAGCGTTTGGGGGGGGGGGGGGGGTCAGTCTAGGCCCTAGGGGTGTTCATCCGCGCAAGATGCGGTAGGTGGAGGGCTTCGCGCGCTGGAACTTCGAGCGCAAAGCAGACCTCGCCGGCGCCATCTCTGCCAATGCCGCTGCGCAAGGCAGGCCACTGAGGCTCTTCTCCATGTGCCTGGGCTTGCGATTTAGGGTTTAGGGTTTGGGGTTTGGGGTTTAGGGTTTAGGGTTTAGGGTTAGGGCGCCTCGCCCCTCCCCCCGCCCCAATTTTTTCAGGTACACTGGCTGGGGCACGGCGGAGATGGTGGCCAATTCGGTGGGCCGCGTCTTCAACGCACTGAAGGGCAGCAACGCACTGCAGGCGCACAAGTCGGGTTTAGGGTTTAGGGTTTAGGTCCTAGGGTTTAGGTTTTAGGGTTTAGGGTTTAGGGTTTAGGGGTTAGGGTTTAGGGTTTAGGGTTTAGGGTTTAGGTTTTAGGGTTTAGGGTTTAGGCTTTTTGGGGTTTAGGGTTTAGGGTTTAAGAGTTCAAGGTTTAGGGTTTAGGATGTAGGGAACCCTTGAGGTTCCTGTGATGAGGGTTACATAAATAGATATGTGTTTTTTTTTTATTGTATTTGTTCTTTGTTTTGGGGACGGATTATAATTATGAGGGATGCCTGAGGGTTGATGGGTAAAAATACGTGGGTTGTAAATGCTCTGAGTAGGGATATAGCGGTTGTAACCATAGTTGCCTTAACCCATGAACCTCCAAGCAGGGAACAGCCAACCTCGCCAGGCTCGCGCATGTGCATGGCGGGCTTATGCCGATGTGGTTTCCCATTGTTGTCTTCGTCAGGAGTCATCTACTCATAGGCTCATAAGCCCGGAAACCCCGAAACTCTTGAATGTTAAACCCCAAGCTCCCTAATTCCGAAACCCTAAACCCCAAACCCTAGACCCTAAACCCTAAACCCTAAACCCTAAACCCTAAACCCTAAACCCTAAACCCTAACCCTAAACCCTAAACCCTAAACCCTAAACCCTTTTCGGAGGTGGAAGTTGCATGGATGTGCGAGTCCAACCTGGACAAGTGCCGCTACTTGGCAGAGGCATTCAAGGAGGTGCAGCATATCTTCACCGATGCCACAGAGGTGGGTTTAGGGTTTAGGGTTTAGGGTTTAGGGTTTAGGGTTTAGGGTTTAGGTTTAGGGTTTGGGGTTTGGGGTTTAGGGTTGAGGGTTTACAGGTCGCCAGCGGCTGTGCGTGGGAATATCGAACCGGCCGCCGACTCCTTGTTCCCATGGACTGCAATTGAGGGCTGAGAGGGGCTGAAAGGGCAGGGTCAGAGAGGGTTTTGATGGGGCTTATCGAGGGTTCATCAGGCTTGTAGGAGCTTGCGGCTGTCGGTGACATTGCGAACGGGGAAGCGCATGAGGGCGCCGGGCAGTATATAGAGGCGCCGTGCAACTCCAGACCTAAACCCTAAACCCTAAACCCCAAACCCTAAACCCTAAACCCTAAACCCTAAACCCTAAACCTCCAGGATCTTGACGGCGGCTTCGTGGGCTACCCATGTGTCGACCTCTCCAGTCTCAACACGGGTCCAGGACAGTTCAAGGATGCGAGCACTGCGACGGGCAAGGGCTATGCCAACATGCTGAAGGTCCTGGTATTCCGAGTTTTGGGGTGGTTCAGGTTGTCTTGGGTTCGAGGGGGTTTCGTTTGCCCCTGACATCTTTTGCAGGAGTGTCTTGCAAGGTTCATGGGTACTTTTTAAGTGGGGTAAGAAGTGCCCTAAAAAAAGGACAAAAAAACCATAGTTGCCTTACTTCATAAGGACCCATGGACCTCCAAGCAGTGCAAGCCAGGTGGTGGATAAGTGTGACAGACTCTCCTTCCTCGGCGTGGAGAACAGCGGCAACATGTGGCACAAGCGGAAGGAGGATTCTGGGGTTCTTAAGGGAGGGGGTGGTTCGCATTGGGGGGGGTAGGTACCTGGGGAAGCCGGAAGGAAGCCCAGGGAGCCTTGGCGAGTAGTGGGGAGCATTCGGGAGTGTTGGGTTATGCATACCCCCTTGAACCCTAACCCCAAACCCTAAACCCTAAACCCCAAACCCGAAACCCCAAACCCTAAACCCAAAACCCTAAACCCTAAACCCTAAACCCCCTTCCTTACGAACCCGGACCCTGTAGTGAGGACCAATTCGAGAGGCCGATTGACATCCAAGATGCTGCGTTCCGCGAGCGAGGCGGCAGCGGGGGTGGGGGGGGGGGGTGGGGGTTTAGGGTTTAGGGTTTCGGGTCTAGGGTTTAGGGTTTAGGGTTTAGGGAGGTTGCGGAATCCCGCAGACTTCCTTTCGGTTGGTGAGCTCCGCACTTGATCGAGACCTGGTCACCTGGTCTCACCCCAAACCCTAGACCCTAAACCCTGAACCCCAAAGGATCCAGCTAGTTTGTGAAATGGATTGCTTGGCATGCACCAGGGCCAGCAAGCGCGGCAAGTACCAGAATCACGCGGAACGCCATAAGCCCTAAGCTCACTAAAATCAAGGATAAGGGTTTAGGGTTTGGGGTTTAGGGTTTAGGGCTTTGGATCTAGGAGGGTTCATTTAGGGTTAAGGGAGTAGACCAACCCCCCCCCCCCCCAACCCTAAACTACATGCTTGAACTCTCGACTGTCGACCCCAAACTCCTCAACCCAAAACCCCCTAAGCCCTAACCTCCTCAACCCTCAACCCTGAACCCTCAACCCTAAACCCTAAGCCCTAAACCCTAAACCCTAAACCCTAAACCCCTAAGCAGGCTTCCTGGCCTCTTCACACCGGGTTTCTGCCCACGAGTTCGGTCCTCCACAGAGCCGGACGCGCTCCTGGAGCTTGTGCCATGGGCCCTCAAAGAGGTTTGGGGGGTTTAGGGTCTAGGGTTTAGGGTTTAGGGTTTAGGGTTTAGGGCTTGGGGTTCAGGGGTTCGGGGTTTAGGGTTTGGGGTTGGGGGGTTCGGGGTTTCGGGTTAGGGCTTAGGGGGTTGGAGGGTTTGGGGGGGTTGGAAGTTGGGGGGCGTTTTGGGGAGGGTTTGGGGGTTGAGGGTGTTGGGTTGGTTTGGAGGTTGCGGGTTTGGGGGGTGTAGGGTTTGGGGCTTGAGGGCGTTGGGTCTCCGATTTGGGGGTTGAGGGTTTAGGGGTTCAGGGGTCTTAAGCTACCAGAAAAAAGAGGCTACACCCATGACCCAACACCCCCTGGAGTGATGACTTTATGTAAGTTCCTAATAGGCAGCCTAGAACTGATGGGGACTTTTGGAATTTAGGGTTTAGGGGTTAGGGTTTAGGGTTCAGGGTCAGGAGTTTGGGGGATGGGGGGGACTTCTGGCGGGGGCTTCTCGGCAAATGCCAGAAGGCAGGTTTGTTTCGAGCTGAGATCCATTCGAATCCCCTCCCTTCGGAGTCCTACACCCTCAGCCCTAATCCTTAAACCTTAAACCCCAGAAAATCCTAAGCCGGAAGCCCTAAACCCAAAACCCCAAACCCGAAGCCTTAAACCCTAAACACTGAACCTTAGACCCTAAACCCGACCCTAACCAAGCCCCCCCCTGAGCCCAGGTACATGCGGAAGGCATGCAGCCGGGCGGACGGGCTCGAGGGGGAGGTGGCCCTGTCGAACCTCTTCCTGTCATTCCGCTGCGAGGCGCTGTCTTTGCCAAAGCTTCTGGCGGAGATTCCCGGGTTCCGCAACTGGGCCATGGTTGAACATCCTTTTTTTACGTTTTTTAAGAGTACTTGAACCCCAATAGGGAACACAAAATGGTCATCTCTGAATAGTACCCCCAACAATGGTGCAGGCAAAGCGCCGGCGCCCAGCGAGAAAGTGGGGAAGTCGGCCAAGTGGATGCAGCAGTTTGCAGAGATTGCCAAGAGGCTGGGACAGGCCTGTGATCTGCCTTACATCCTGCAATGCATATAAATGCACTTGAGGAAGGGCCCACTCTCGATGCCCTAAACCCTAAACCCTAAACCCTAAACCCTAAACCCTAAACCCTAAACCCTAAACCCTAAACCCCAAACCCCAAACCCCAAACCCTAAAACCTAAACCCTAAACCCTAAACCCTAAACATTGTTTCAGTTCTCGTTGAAGGAGCAGCTCGACCTCAAGGTCCAAGAGGTTCTCTCCATGGACCTACCCCTGACCTCGCGAGGCTCGGTAGGCCCTTAGGACATGTTATCTTTTCCCTTATTGGGGTTGAGAGGTAAACCCTAAACCCTAAACCCTAAACCTAAACCCTAAACCCTAAACCCTAAACCCCAAACCCTAAACCCTAAACCCTAAACCCTAAACCCTAAACCCTTACTGGGTTTAAGAGGATCATCTTCAGGAGTTTTTTTTTTCAGTGGGTTTCAGGGGCCATCCTAGGAGAGGTCCATGTGGTGGCCATTGCCGTTCATGAGCTCCAAGCTCGCGGCGTGGACTTGCGGAAAGAGCCTGTGGTCATTCAAGTGGACGCTTGCTCCAGCATTTCAATAGGGCGTTGAAGGAGCTACTAGCAAGAAGGCATCTACGCATATCTATATACGGTTATGCATGTACAAACGTTGTGGGCATGCAGGCCTGAAACATGAGATTGGCTCTTGGTTTGGGTCACAATTGAGTTGGTGTGGGTGAGTCTGCATCGTTTCTGTCGGGGTGATAGCTCGGAGCCCCAATGGATAGTCACCCTAAACCCTAAACCCTAAACCCTAAACCCTAAACCCTAAACCCGAAACTCCAAGGACCAAGGCTTCGGGAGATCCTGGCATCGATCCGATCACCGGATCGCCCCCTGCATCATCCCCAAGGGCAAGTACCTCCTGACGGGCCCGACATGGAGGCTGATGGACAAGCAGGAGGGGTTTGGGGTTTAGGGTTTAGGGTTAGGGTTTAGGGCTTAGGGTTAGGGAGTGTGAGGTTTAGGGTTTAGGGTTTAGGGTTTAGGGTTTAGGGTTTAGGGTTTAGGGTTTAGGGTTTAGGTTTTGGGGTTTAGGGCCAGTTGAGGATTCAGGGTTCAGGGCGGTCCTTCGCGGTATGGTGTATGGTAGTCTGGGTTGAACTTCAAGCTGATGCTTGCTCTCAGGAGAAATGCTTTCTTCAGGGCGTCGGACCGCAGGAGATCCGTGCCTATCGCATGGAAGAGCTGCTCTCCGAGAATCAGCTGAACGACATGGCGGGAAACGCGTGGCCCACTTAGCTTGCCAGCGCTCTTTGAGGTACTCGGTTTAGGGTTTAGGGTTTAGGGTTTAGGGTCTAGGGTCTAGGGTTTAGGGTCTCATACTTCCGCCGTCCAACGTTTGGGGCTTTTGTTGTGAGGAAGTCAAATGCAGTTACCATATAAGTTATATGGTGTAAGTGACATAGCCTCCGTTTTTGTGTGGCAACTGAATTTGAGTTCCTTCGAACCATGCCATTCAATATTCTTCGGATGCTTGTTGTGTCACCCTAAACCCAAACCCCAAAACCCTAAACCCTAAACCCGAAGCCCAAATCAGGTTCACCGCGCAGATTTGCATGGCGGCGTATCTGTCCTTCTTGGTTTGCTGGAACTCGGGAGCGCGCCCGGGTATGGAGGCAAAACAGGAGCCGGTAGGGTTTAGGGTTTAGGGTTTAGGGTTCATGACGTTTCCGGAAGTTTCTGTGCACAAAGTTTGGCACAGAAAGCAGCTCCTGCTCGCTGAAAAGCCTGCTTGACAGGTTAGTGATAATTCAATATGCTGCACCGAATTCATAATTCGGAGCTGGCAGCACGCATGCTCTGGCACGCAAAGGAAAAACATACGTTTGGGATCCTTGGAGGATTCTGTGGCTGAGCCATGGTGCATACAGCCACATGGCCGCGTCTTGCAGTCCGCCGCGTTGCTTGTTTGGGCTCTTCAGCTGGCCGACCGACAGCGGTTCAGCACAAGAATACACAAGTTCAACACCAGAACGACTGACACAGCACTTGCCGCCAAGGCCGCACCGTTATTCGGCCGCCAGCAAAGCAGCACCTGAACACCCCCCCAAAAGCCTACTTTTCTGTAGAATCCTATGAGGAGTCTTGCAAACGAAGCCCTAAACCCCAAATTCGCCCTAAACCCTAAACCTTGAACCCTAAATCCTAAACCCTAAGCCCCATAAAACAGAAGCAGGTTATGCAAAACAGGTAGGTAGGCTTTTGAGTTCTTGACTACAAATCTAGTCACTTGCACTCGCGTGGGGCCATGCCGCGAGTGGGCGCACGGCACCTCAGGGGGTGGAGAGGAGACGGTGGGGTTTAGGGTTTAGGGGGTTTTTCGGGTCTCTACAGGGTTTATAGGGGTTGATAGAGGTTTTAGGATTTCGGGTGTAGGGGTTTAAGGTTTCTATGGCGCTTCTTGGGGTTTTAGGGACTAAGGTTTGCGGTCGCTTTTAGGGGTTTCAGGGTTCAGGGGTCTAGGATCTCCGTGGTGCTTATGGGGAGGTTTGGGTTTTAGGATTCAGGGTAGAGGCATGGCCCTGGGGGGGTTGGGGTCTCGACAGGGTTTAGGGCTTTAGGGTCTCCATGGTTCTAGGTGTCTACAGGGTCTACAGGGTCTAAGGTGCGTGCCCTGGCCCCACTCCCCCCCCCCCCACTCCCCCCCCCCCCACTTCCCCCCCCCCCCCCCCCCCCCCCCCCCCCACCCCCCCCGACCCCCCCAGAAGCACCCCTAAACCCTAAACCCTAAACCCTAAACCCTAAACCCTAAACCCTAAACCCTAAACCTTAAAACCTTAAAACCTTAAAACCTTAAAACCTTAAAACCCTAAACCTTAAACCTTAAGCCCTAAACTCTAAACCCTAAACCCCTTTTAAACCCTAATCCCTGAACCCTAAACCCGAAACCTCAAACCCCAAACCCCAAACCCCAAACCCCAAACCCCAAACCCTAAACCCTAAACCCTAAACCCTAAGCCGCACCGAAGTGCTCTTCGGCACCGACTTTGGCGCCGAGGCCGCGCCGGCGCCCGCACCTTCCGAGCAGGGGGTGGGTGGCTCTCCCACGCGGCGGAAGGCTGGGTTTGGGGTTTAGGGTTTAGGATTTAGGGTTTAGGGTTGAAGGGTTAAAGGGTTTCAGGGTTTAGGATTCGGGTCGGAAAGAGACTCCAGAGTGTTATGTCTCTCTCTCTCTCTCTATCTTTCTCTCTCGCTCTCGCCGCTCTCTCTCTCTCTCTCCCTCTCTGTCTCTCTGTCTGTCTCTCTCTCTCTCTCTTTCTCTCTGTCTGTCTCTCTCTCTCTCTCTTTGTCTCTTCGTCTCTCTCTCTTTCTATTATGGTTGAGTAGGTCTTAGGGTGTAAGGGTTTGGTTTACGGTTGAACAAGCTTGGGCTTGCGCATTGGGGTCTCCAAGACGGATCTGCATACGGATCTGACTCAGAATGCTGGCATGCGGCATGAGTGGCAGCTTTTGACGCGCCAGGCGCGTCCTCAAGAAGACGCAGGGACACCGACAACTTCGCCTGCCTCCAAGCGCAGGAAAACTAAGCTCGAGGCTCAGATCGGTTGCAGTCGACGCCGTATGCAGGATGTACGTGCCCTAGGATACAGCTCACATGAACAAAAAGACCCTTCCGCCTTGCTGCAATGTTGGCTTCTTGGTGTCGGTGTGAAGCGTAGAAGTCTGGAAACCCCTAGAAAAGGGTAAGCTGATGATGTCCGTCAGTGAGAGCGAGAAGTGACCCGCACGCGCCTCCACTGCTCCTACCAGGAAGGCGCCTTCAAAGGAGGAGCCGCCGAAGGAGGAGGAGCCGCCAAAGGCAGAGGAGCCGGCAGCCGACCCCTTCGGCGCTGACCTCCAGGCGCAACTGGAAGGCTGCCGATGGGGGGGGGGGGGGGGGGGGGTGGTGGCTTCGTGTGTTGAAGAAGTTGTCTGAGTTGTTGCGGCATCTGGAGGTTCTTAAACCACAAAGCCCTCCAACCCTCAAAAGGGTCTTCTGCTGATCCCAGGGTGACATGAGAACAGGGACGGCCAAGGGCACTGCAGCTCTCATCTCCGGAAGGCCGAGACCTGCTGAGCCCTGTATGCCCAAAAAGCCCCCCCTGAAGGGCCCTGACGCACCCAACTAGAACCGATGAACCCTTGTCGACCTGATGCAACCCTAAACTTGCAGCCCTGAGCTCTCAACCCTTAGCCCCAAACTCTAACCCCCGAACCCTAAACCCCAAACCCTAAATGTGACACTAAACCCTAAACCCCAAACCCTCAACCCTAAACCCTCAACCTCAACCTTAAGCCCTAAACCCAAACCCTCAACCCTAAACCCCAAACCCTAAACCCTAAACCCGACACCGGTGTAGAAGAACCCGCCCCCCCCCCCCCACAGGCCCCGTGGACACGGCAGAAGAACTGCCGGCTCCCAAGGCCGAGGCAGGTCCTTTTTTTTTTTGGAAGGGGGGGGGCTTGGAGGGGTTTAGGGTTTAGGGGTTAGGGTTTAGGGTTTCGAGTTTAGGGCTTAGTGCTTCGGGTTCGGGTTTCGGGTTGAGGGTTTCTAGGGTCAGGGTTGATTGCTGGAGTTATGGGGTTTAGGGTTTGAGGGCTAACGCCTAAACTTGTGTGTCTGGGAGGGGGGGGGGGTGCTTTGGTGGTATTTATGGGAGTTTTCGAGCATCTTTTTGAGTGCGTTTTCTGGAAATGTGGGGCGGGGGGTTCAGGGGTAGGCCATTGTAGGGTTTAGCAGGGTTCAGGGTTCGGCGGAATCGCATCCGATCTGATGTATCCGAAGATATGTAAGACGCGCAGAGATAGCCCCAAGCCCCCAACCCCAAACCCTAAACCCCAAACCCCAAACCCCAAACCCTAAACCCTAAACCCCAAACCCTAAACCCTAAACCCCAAACCCTAAACCCCAAACCACCAAGCCTTTAACCAGGCGCCTCAGGACAGTGCGGGCCTTACCGAGGTGTCCTTGGAGGTTCATGGTACCTATCAACCAATCATAACTGTACTGATAGGGTTTAGGGTTTAGGGTTTAGGGTTTAGGGTTTAGGGTTTAGGGTTTAGGGTTTAGGGTTTACTGTACTTACAACTGTACCTATCGCACCAACATGGCGCTTAAGGGGCTTACAATTGGGGTTATAAGTACAGATATAACGGGCCTTAAGTGCCCCAATATGGCTATTAACTGTACCTATAGCCTATAGGTACAGTTGTAAGTACAGTTAACCCTAAACCCTAAACCTTACAAGTACAGTTATAATTGGCTAATGAGTAGCATGAACCTCCAAGCATGCTCAAAAGCAGACAGACGTTGGCTTCTTGCGTGCGGGTCCTTGGCTAGGGTCTAGGGTTTAGGGTTTCGGGTTTATAGGGTTTAGGGTATCCCTGGAAGGGTATATGGGGGGGGACGAATTGTACCTAATTCACCGACTTCCCTGCTCCATGCGCAAGTTTTGGGAGATGTTCTTGCTGACTGTCTTGGTTCGCGCAGGGCATCAAGAAGCTCTGAAGGCGTGCCGGGAACCCGAAGCCCTAAGGTTTAGGGTTTAGGGTTTAGGGTTTAGGGTTTAGGGTTTAGGGTTTAGGGTTTAGGGTTTAGGGTTTAGGGGAAGCCCTAAACCCTCCAGGGGACAAGCGGAGCGTTGTGAATACTGATCGGTTTCAGGAGAAGACGGTAGCATAACCCTGCATCCCGAAACCCACTAAACCCTGAACCCTGAACCCTCCTAAACCCTAGACTCCTAGACCCTGCCTCAGCTCGTGAGGGTGTTTCCCAAAATACGAGGACCACCTTCTATCCCCCCCAAACAGGAGCATCCGTCTTCTCGGAACTGCACAATGGGCACGGACCCCCCCCGCCCATCCCCCCAATAAGGTACATTCCATAATGGGGGATAACCCTATAAAGCCTCCCTAGGGGCTACCCCCCGCACCCCCCCCCCCCCACCCCTAAACCGCCTAAACTCCCTCCTGGCCCTAGTGCAGTGGGCCAGGATGCAGTTGCAGAGGGCGCATGGTTCTCTGCGGAGACGTTTGAAGACCTGCTTCCGGAGCACTACCGGCAGCACGCTGAGAGTGAGAACTATGTCGGCTCGTAGAGTGTTAGGGTCGTTTTGGCTATCCATCCCCGAAACCCTAAACCCTAAACCCTAAACCCTAAACCCTAAAAAGTGCTGAGAGTCTGCAGGGAGAGTTTGGGGAGCCCGCATCAAGACCTGATCGAGCTTGTCATGAGCCCGGGACCAAGAGAGATCACATGGAGGTGGCACTTAAGGCACCCTAAACCCTAAACCCGAAACCCTAAACCCTAAACCCTAGGGCGGCGCCCCTGGTGGACCGGCTCAGGCTCACACATCTGGTGGCGGCCTGGTCTGCGAGCCCTGGTGGAGAGCTTGGCGGGGTTTCAGTGTTTCGGGGGCGGTTTAGGGTTGACGTGTTTAGGGTTTAGGGTTTAGGGTTTAGGGCTTTTCAAACTTTCAGGCTGCCTAGACTTCGGCCCAATCGCCGAGGTAAAATGCCTGGCTGATCTGAACCAGGCTCGCTTCTGCTGGTTTCGCTGAGCAAAGCTTCGCCACACGGGGGTTTACGATAATTGGGGTCCTTATTATCAGGGAATCCTACTACTAGCAAACCCTAAACCCTAAACCCGAAACTGGCCCGAAGCCCTAGGGGGTCCTATCTTAGGGGTCCCTATTTTCGTAAACCCCCACATGTACGGTGCAAACGATCAACCTCCCGTGCACTTCCGCAAGTTGTTTGGTTTTTCAGGTTCCCCCCTCGTTTCACCATGTGTTGTCATATGGCAGTATACAGATCATGGTAGCTAAATCTGTGTGCGAGAATCTGTTCATCCGACGGTGGCGCCCTTGCGTTTGCTTAGCGAGCCCTAGCCGTTCAAAGTAATGGAGCACATGTTGGCCGACATCATTTTGCAGCAGCCCCCTTCCGGAAATTCCGGAGGACCTTGCCCTTCGTAGCGCTCTGAGCCCTCTGAACACTCTTAGGGTAGTTGCACGGCCCCTTAATAAATGGGCCCTGAAAAGACATACCCCTTATATACCCTGCTTACACTAAGGCCCCATGCATCAGAACCCTTTAAGGAGGGTATGGGACCATATTAGGGGACCGTGTAACTACCCTTAGAAACACTCCGAACCTCAAAGCCCTGCCATTCACAGGAGGTTTGTGTCCACGCCTGGTGTGCTTTGTGTGCTTGCTGGCGACTGCATTGGCGTTTTCTGCTACTGCGCTGGGGACCCGAGACAAGGAGGGCATCAACATCTAGAAGGGATCCGCAAGATTTAAAAGAAAAGATTCGATATGATCGAGGCTTTGAGAACCCTCTGCTTCTCTCTCTCTCTCTTTATTGTTAGGTTTGTTAGGTATATGATAAGACTCTTGAGAAGACAGAGACTGAGAGACTTTTTTCTGGGATAGGAGAGACGCCTGTCAAAGCTCTCCGTCAAATTGGTGGTCACTGGCCTTTGCTTCGTCATCTGCGCCGCATCATGTACATTTCTTACCTACTCCGAGCAAGTGAAAGCATGGTGGTCCTTGGGGGCCTGCGCAAGCAGTTTGATGGCTTTACTTGCCCCGAGCGCGGTGCAGAGGCGATCGGAGGTGGAGGAGCAAAGCGAGTGGAATGAGTGGAGCGAGCGGAATCTGCTTCGAGCATCGAGCACCACCCAGTCAGGAGAGGATCGGACGCTTCGCACCACGAGGGCCTCGAGGAGGACGCGCTTCCAGTCGGCGCTGCAGGTCATCCACGAGAATGCCATGTTGGCCATCACGCCTGCTAGCCCGGAAGTGTCTTCCGAGAACATGCCCATGATCATTGCCGCCATCCACTCGCTCGCCACACAGCGCAAGAAGTGGGGAAGGCGCCCCAATGACACCTGGGGGAAATTTCTGACCAAGTTGGATACAATTCTGGGCCAAAAAAGTGAGAGACCAAGCCGATCCAGCCAGTCTAGCCTCTTGATCCCATCGGGGGCTTGGTACGAGATCAGCCGCTGGTGCGCGCGTCGCTCGCCGCACGAGCTTCAGTCCATTGTTGCTTGGTAGACCAGTGGTACCCTTTACCCCTTTTTTTTGTCCTGGGTTCCCTTATAAAAGTAACCAAAAAGGGTGCCCAGATTATAATATGGTTACTGGGCTACTGAGGTTGAGACTGCGATCAAGTTGCACCGGGCACCGGGAGAGGAAGTGTTGTGGGAACTTGGCAGGACAGGGCAAGAGTCGTGAGCCAGCGATTTTAATTGGAACTTAGTCTCCTTCTCCTTCTTCTTTGTATCTTTTCTCTCTCTCTCTCTCTCTATGTCTCTTCTCTGAGTCTCCTGAAGTGCATGCCTGCATTGCCCACGCCGTTTTCCTCGGGTGCAGGATGCTGGATGCAACATTGGATGTTCATGCGCGTGAACTGGTGTGACCGTTCACTGGTGGCAAAAAAAGGGCCCGGTTGTATCAGAGTCGAGGGCCACCAGACAGGTGAGCCTCTGCACCATTTAGGTGCACCACTCCGCAAAGAAGGGAATTGCGCATGGCGCTTCATTTTTCAAAACATTTCCTTGGTACGCCCAGTGGTAAAGTTTACCCTGCTCTTCGTTCAAGGATCCCTTGTAAGGCAACCATCCAAGAAACAAGGGTACCCTGATTCTAAGATGGTTACTGGGCTACCACGATTCATGGTTGCACAAAAAGGGAATAGAAGGCATGCCTTACTGCGGTTCTTTCCTAAATGCAAGAGAACCATCAAGATCCGGCACATGCCTGGTCAGCCCACACAATCTGGCAACCAAACCCTGTGAGTTTTCGCAGAGCGCGCGCCCCGTGCTCTCAGAGTTAGAGCCCATGGTGGCATATCCGTTTGAAGTGCTTGCCGTCAACTGTACTCTGTTGCAGAATTCAAGACGAGAACGCGAGACGTGAAGGTTTCGCTCCCCAAATTCGCTGCAGACGTTTTCGGCACCGATGCCTGTACATTGCCACTCGCGCCACAGGTTTGATCGTCTTGATGCGTCTTGGTCCTTGGGGACTGCTTGGGAACTAAATAACATCAACCCAAACATGTTTATGTTCCATAGACCTAAATTGGGGCTGAAAGGTTCACATGCTGGGGTTCCCTCAGTCCCTGTGGGTGTGTCTTGGTTTTGGTTTTTTCTTGGTCTGTTTTGCCATCGTGGCATGCTGGCTAGTGGCCGTCCTACCGACCGAGGACTTGGATTCCTCCAAGGAAACCGGTAGATACGCTGGTGCCCGCCGTCGCAAATCAGAGCGTTGCTGCATCTGAAGAGAAAAGAAAAGCTGCTCCCTACCTGTCCAGCATCCCCCTCCTCCCCCCCCTCTTCGTGATTCGCGCAAGCTGCGAGGGCGCAACTTGATGTTGGGCGGTATGCAAGCCAGGTCACCAAATCTGAGCTGCCGAAGAAGATGGATGCGCTGGAGTGCACGATGTCTGCACACCACTACAGTCCAACCTTAAACCCTAAACCCTAAATCCTGAACCCTGAACCCTGAACCCTGAACCCTGAACCCTGAACCCTAAACCCTAAACCCTAAACCCTCCCGACGTGTCAGTGCAGAGCAGGACGCGGAGAAGCTTGCGGAGTTGCTGATGCGCCTGCAGGCCACCTTGGCAAGCTATATGGCCAGTTCTCAAGGTTATGGTTTTTGGGTTTAGGGTTTAGGGTTTAGGGTTGCTAAATATGAGTAGCCCCAAAAGGGACCATCGTTTTCGAGAAGTGGCCGCATCAACTCAGTTTTTCGTTTTTCGTCCTGGGGTCGTTATCCAGCTCATTCTGCGCTCCCTCTCTCGTCCATCATCGTGCCAGGTTGCCATCGAGCGGCCACTTCGGTCCTTCTCGGAGCACTTGAAGCCCGCGCTTGCTCGACGAGTGATTGCCCGAGGGGATTCCCGTGTTAAGAGGAGTGCGGCACACATTTTGGCTGGGGTTTAGGGTTTAGGGTTTAGGGTTTAGGGTGGTATCGATGCCTGCCTCAGTGTGCGTTCGCTGACAGATCCACGTCGGGACGATGGACTACATGGGTGGCTCGCACGAGTCGTATCGTCGAACGCCCGCGTCTTATGTGGAGCGCAGAGGCCATGAGCCGCTGCTTGTGAGAACACCTTGACATGAAGTCTTCTTCGCCCTGGTTCTTAGTAGGGAGTGAGGGAATTAGGGCCCTAAAAACACCCTTGAATTAAGGGGTTTTATATTCGGCCCCATTCCCTCATTCCCTATGAAGAACCAACCACAAACCCTAAACCTTAATCCCTAAACCCTAAACCCTAAACCCTCAACCCTACACCCTAAACCTTAGCGTAGCGATCCAACAAGGTTTGAGTTCATTGAGATGACAAACACATGGCATGACGTGGACACGCCAACCCGAGACTCTTGGCTGCAGCTGCCGGTCTAGAGGTTTAGTTTAGGGCTTAGGGTTTAGGGTTTAGGGTTTAGGGTTTAGGGTTTAGGGTTTAGGGTTTCGGGCTGTCGCCTTGAACCAAGGACATCGGAGACCTATACAGGCCGCGGGGCGATCTCACTCTTTGGCATGAGTCGAACTGGGGGGCTTCCGAAGTTAGGGGGTACCTTATTGGGGTTTAGGGTTTAGGGTTTAGGGTTTAGGGTTATTCTAAAGGAATCCTACCATTAGGGGATCGATACTGTGGGCCCCCCGATTTCGGAAGCCCTCCAAGTTTTCGTGGCCCTCCCTGAGGAAGAAGCTGAAGTGTTCCTACAAGGATCCTTCCATGTACAAGGCCGGAAGGCACGAAGCCGCACAACGCTAGGGTTTAGGGTTTAGGGTTTAGGGTTTAGGGTTTAGGGTTTAGGGTTCATAATAACCCCCCCCCAAAAAGTCCTCCCTACACTAAACTGGCCGTGTGTGGGTGGGTGGTGGGTGGGTGGGGAAGGCACAAAGCCACACAACACTTCAAGAGTACAAGATCATAACCCCTCCCAAAACCCTGCCCTGTATATCTATACCTATAAGGCCCCCCCAAAGCCCTACCCTACGCAACCAGACCGTAATAATCCCCCAAAGCCCGTACCCTATACAACTAGACTATAATCACCCCCAGCAAATCCCTACTAAAATGACCCCTACAGCCCTACCCTACTTATATAGCTATACTAGAAATACCCCCCCCGAAGCCCGGAACCCTGAACCCTAAACCCTAAACCCTAAACCCTAAACCGTAACCCTAAACCCTGAACCCCCCAGAAAAGACCTTGCATCCTCTGAAGGCCTTGGCCGCCCGCGCAGCGGACAAGCGCGACTCCTTCCGGATGGTGGTGAAGGCGCCGACCAGCATAGGGTTTAGGGTTTAGGGTTTAGGGTTTAGGGTTTAGGGTTTAGGGTTTCAGGGTTTAGGGTTTAGGGTTTAGGGTTTAGGGTTTCAGGGTTTAGGGTTAGCACCCTGTATAAACGGGCCCTGTATAGGTGGAGGTAAAGGGGGGGGAATAAGGGGGGCTATCAGGGGAGCATGAGTACCCTATCGCCTACAGCCCCCTTTAAGAAGGGCCCTTTACATGGATTTATTATGGCGACTACACCCTAAAAGGGTTTTTGTAGGGGTTGATTGTGGGGCGACGACAGCCTCCATAACCGTTTGTAAGGGCGGGCATAGGGGGGGGGGTTTAAGGGGAGGGGAGGGGGGGGGGGGGTTGATTGATTCGGGGGTTGAGTAGGGGGAGTTAGAGCCCTTATTGCTTTGGAGGTTTTAGGGAGCAGCCTCTCGCGTTTGGGTCTGTAGAGTATGAAGGCGCGGGTACCCCAAGTGGGTGAGAATCCCCTAAGTAAGGTTATCACCATAGTGTGGAGTCTGCGTGAAGAATTCTTGGTACGTACAACGTAGGGTTAGAAGTCCCCTAAGTACGGTTAGAACCATAGTTACCCGAGCAAGAGCCTTACTTGCAAGTACCCATAAACCTCCAGTCGGGTCGAGAGGTGAGCTGCGTCGCCACCCACCTCATGAAGCTGCAGAACATGTGGGACCGGCACAGGGAAGCCACAAGTCGTGTGCGCAAGCTTAGCCCGGCATGGTCTTTCTGGGCACTTCGCAGCCTTCCCCCTACGATTCAGCATCCCTAAACCCTGGACCCTAGGCCGTAAACCCTAAACCCTAAACCCCACTAAACCCTAAACCCTATACATCCCCCCCCCCCCCCGCCCCAAGTGCTGCCTTCTTGTAGAAGCCCGCAACAGCGGTACCTCTTGTTTCCCCCCGTGTCCGAGTCTACATTGAGCATGTTTACGGGGCTGAACCAGGTGTGTGATGCTCATGATGATTCAGGTAGGGTTTGGGGTTTGGGGTTTAGGGTTTAGGGTTTAGGGTTCAGGGTTTGTAGGTTTTAGGTTTTAGGGTTTAGGGTTGAGGGCGGTGGTGTTCCAACGAACCACCAGCGCCAGCAGAAATCATGGGCCAGGGCCATGCTTCATCGACTTGACAACCACATGTTTTGGTGCCCGCGTTTCGAGTACGTGTTTTGGGTGGGTGTCTGCAGGCTTTCTTCTGAAGTCCTTAACTTCTTTTTCAACAGCCATCGGTGAGAGCAGATGCTGATCAACTCTTCGTCAACTTTCTGAAGCTGCGCTCTTTTAAGGGCTTTCGAAAAGAATGTCCCAACCGGAAACGCTCCTTCTAAGCTTCTACAGGGCCATGCACAGAATATGTAGAGCCCGGTTCCAGAAACACACAACATGGTCAGTGCTTTGAATGAGGGTCCCTTTTGAAAGGCACCTTAAAGACTAGGGGTCGTAGCGCAGTAGATCCAAGAAGGGACCATCATGTAGAGAAGTCACCATACCGCCCCATGCACAAGTGGCTTGGGGTTTAGGGTTTAGGGTTTAGGATTTTAGGGTTTAGGGTTCAGGGTTTAGGGTTTGGGGAGTCTTGACGCCTCTTCCCCGGTGCTCTGCGAATCCCTGACCATGGCTAGCGGATCTACAACATCTCCACGAAGCATCGCGGGAGGGCTCATGAACACATTAAGCCATTAAGCACATGCAACCCAGAAATTTGTTTCAAGCTTCTTTTTGGGGGGAAGTTACGGGGCCCCAGATGGGTCATGGGATGTTCCCCCCTTATACTAGCAGACTTAAGAATCGTAGGGGGGAACATCCTAAGCCCTAAACCCTAAACCCTAAACCCTAAACCCTAAACCCTAAACCCTAAACCCTAAACCCTAAATCCCATCATCTTTGGTCCTCCTGCATGCTCGTAAAGCTGCCCACGGCCAGGAGTGGTGGCCGACGTTGTGGCAAGCGGGACCCTGAGGATGCTAGAGTCTAGGTGTTACAAGGGAAGGGTTTCGGGTTTCGGGTTTCGGGTTTCGGGTTTAGGGTTTAGGGTTTAGGGTTTAGGGTTTAGGGTTTAGGGTTTAGGGTTTAGGGTCCTAAGCCCTGAGCCCACAGCCCAAAGGCCCTGTACAGACTCCCTGAAAACCGACTCTTCAGTTGGTTTTACCGACCTATTCCGATTCGGCTTCGCTGCTCCCGGACCCGCTGCAAGGCTCGTTGCCATCAGCACGAAAGCCACAGAAGCACCGATGTTCATGAATGCATAAGTGGTAAGGCTGTAGTTTAAATCGGTTTTAAATGACGCACGCACACAAACAAACACACATATACATGTATATATATATGTATATATATATATATGTATGTATATATGTATATGTATGCATATATATATACCTACACAAAACAATCTGTTCATTTTTTCATACATACATTTTTCATACTAATTTTATATATTTGCGGCTGGACGTGATGCAGGCTGCGAGAAAGGAACAGCTAGGAGAATGCGAGATATGCAAGCGGGAGAACATCCAGCCATTAAGCCCTATAAACCGTAAACCTTAAGCCCTCAGCCCTAAGCCCTAAGCCCTAAGCCCTAAGCCCTGAGCCTAAACCGATACGCGTGGGCATTGGCCATGTCGGCAGCCCGGAGCGTGCTTCCCGAGGACTGGAGATTTGCTCAATGTCTGGTTTTCACGCCTCTGCGCATTTCTTGCTTTTCTACCACTGCGGTGTAGGGTTTAGGGTTTAGGGTTTGGGGTTTAGGGTTTAGGGTTTAGGGTTTAGGGTTTAGGCCCGAAATGCCCGCAGTACGCTAAACCCCAAACCCAGAACTGCGACCGCTTCATAGCGGTGGATGTTCTTAGCGGAGTCTACAACCCCTAAACCCCAATAAGCCGCGCGGAGGTCCTTAAGCCCTCAACCCTCAACTCCGAACCCTCTAAACCCTAAACCCTAAAAACCTAAAACAGAAACCCTAAACCCTAAGCCTTAAGCCCTAAACCCTAAACCCTAAACCCTAAACCCTAAGCCCTAAGCCCTAAACCCTAAACCCTAAACCTTAAACCCCAAACCCCAAACCCCAAACCCTAAACCCCAACCAGAAACCCTAAACCAGAAACCCTAGGGTTTAGGGGCCTAAGTTGGCATCGGCTCAAGGAGGGCAAGGCGGAGGACGCGGGCGAGAAGCAGAAATGCGAGGTCGAAACGGTGGAGGCCTGGTTTGGGGTTTAGGGTTTAGGGTTTGGGGTTTAGGGTTTAGGGTTTAGGGTTTAGGGGTAAGGGGTTTAGGGGTTTAGGGGTTTAGGGGTTTAGGGGTTTGGGGGTTTGGGGGTTTGGGGGTTTGGGGGTTTGGGGGTTTGGGGCTTTAGGGTTTAGGGTTTAGGGTTTAGGGTTTAGTAGTTTAGGGTTAGGGTTTAGTAATTTAGGGTTTACGGTTTAGGCTTCCAAACCCAAAGCCCCACACCAGGTTCAGGTCTCGGGCTTCCCTTTTGCTGCTGCGTCTGAGGTCGACTTCGAGAGCAAGCAGCAACTTGGTAAAGTGCTCCCCGGCGTTTAGGGTTTAGGGTTTCGGGTTTGGGGTTTAGGGTTTAGGGCTAGGGTTTAGGGCTAGAGCCCCCTCTCCGGCAGGTACTTCGGAAGCACAGGTTCAGTAACCTTGTAGTCTCGGTCCCCGACGTCGTGGACATGGTTGCAGCGCTCAAGAACACCAGCCGCCAGGCGGTGCTGCAAGGCGAGGAATTTGGCTTAATATTGGTTAGTAGGGAATTGGGGAATGAGGTACCCTACATAATCCCTTAGGGCCCTCATTCCCCCATTCCCTGCTCACCAGCAGTAAGTTGGGGGGGTCTTTGTTGGCATGCCCCTAAAGAGCTCAGATTCTTAGGGGCCTAACCCCTAAACCCTAAATTGGGATGTTCCCCTTATGCTAACAGTCTTAATCGGGACTCTAGTTGCTATAATCCATATTCAGGGCTGTTAGTATAAGGGGGAACATCCCAAGCCCTGAGCCCTAAACCCAAAGTCAGGTTTAGGGTGCTTAACGTAGGGTCTAGGTTGCGATCTTCCAAAGATGGTGGCAGTGCTCAGTGTCTTCGCAAGCAGTGTCTTCGCAAGCGGTGCATAGCCACTTTTTCACAAGGGTTAGGGTTAGGGTTTACGGTTGAGGATTCGGGTTTAGGGTTTAGAGGGGTTGGGGTCGTGAGGATTTATTACCTTAGGCTCATATGGCTGAGGGGTTCAGGGTTTGGGAACCGACTTCAGAAATCAATTTTGAGCAGTTTTTTTCTGGGGGTCTTCCAGAAGCCCCGCATCAAATGCGTGAGTTCCTTCACGATGACTCCTGTGGCAGGCGCACTTTCGTCGTGGTTTTCGTACGCGACGGGCTTCCCGGTTCTCGAGGTCACCGGATGCTGTTTTTTCCCGCCCTACACGTGCAAAACACTGTAAGACTACACATGGCAAGAGACGTGTGTTTCTTAGTCTTGGAAACCAGATGAGCCCTAAAATTTTGGATCATATGCCCTATAGACTACTCAAGTACCTGCTGTTCAGGTCCTAAACCTTCTCATCTCCCAAACCCTATCCCCAAAACCCAAAATTGGAGGTTCTTTTGGTTCCCAAGAAAACCTTGTCAGGTAGAATGCCATGAGCAGCGAGAGCAGCTGGAGGCTTGGGCGCATCCCCTGGGCCGGGTTCGGAAGGTGTAGCCCCCCCCCCCCCCCCCTTAGCCCCCCCCCCCCCCCCCCCCCCCCCCCCCCCCACCCCCCCCCCCCCCCCCCCCCCCAAAAAACAAAACCTAAACCCGACACCCTAAGCCCCTAAATTTTAGGGCTCAGGGTTTAGGGTTTGAAGCCCTAAACCTGAAAACTCGTAAACAATAAACGCTAAACCCTAAACCCTAAGCCCTAAGCCCTAAACCCTAAACCCTAAGCCCTAAACCCTAAACCCTAAACCCTAGCAGGGCGACCTGGGAGCCCTGCTCGTCTTCCGGGTGCGACTTGACGCCGGCTGCACAGCTTTACGGGTGGCTGAGAGGCTTTAGGGTTTAGGGTTTAGGGTTTAGGGCTAGGGTTTAGGGCTTTACGGGGGGCTTAGAGGGTTTAGGGATTAGGGTTTACGAGTTTTAGGGAGGCTGTTGGGGTTTAGGGTTTCGGGCTAGGGTTTAGGGTCTAAGGTCTTTTAGGGTTTAGGGTTTCGGAGTTTTAGGGCTTAGGGTTTCGGAGTTTTAGGGTTCAGGGTTTACGGTAGGGCTAGGGTTGAGGGTTTAGCGGTTTAAGGGTTAGGGTTTAGAGCTAGGGTTCAGGATTTAGGGGTTTTAGGGTCTAGGGGTTGTAGGGTTTTAGGGGTTTTGGGGGTTTTAGGGGTCTTTAGGGGTCTTTTTGGGGGTCTTTAGGGGTTTTATAGAGGGTTGAGTGATGTTAGGGGTTCTGGGGGTGGTTTTCGGGGGTTTTAGGGGCTTTAGGGGCCTTCAGGGTTTTAGAGGTTTGGGGGTTCTCGGCGTTTAGGGTTCAGGGCTTTCGAGGGGATGTACGGGTTTTGCGGTTTTAGGGGTAGGAGGGTTAGCGGTTTGGCGCTATTCGGGGTAGGGCTTGGGGCATCTTAAGCGTGGCAGCAAGGCGCCGGGGATTTGGGGCATTTAGGGCTCTTGGGGTGCGATAGGGTTTCTAAAGCTTTTAGGGTTTACAGGGGGGTGTAGGGTTTATGGCGTTTGGGGTTTGTAGGGCTTAGGTTGTGGATTTGGCTTCGAAGAGGGGGCAGATCTGGAGCTGGGAAATCTAGGGTTTAGGGTTTAGGGTTTAGGGGTTGGGGTCATTCACTAGTCAAGCAGTGTGTTTTTCTGAGTCGGAAATCTATCCGCCCACCCAAGAATCCCGTAGCGTTAAGAAGAAATGAGATGCTAAAAGCTCAAAGTCCGTGGGCCCTAAACCCTAGATCCAAGGCCCTCAGTAGGCCCTAAACTCACAAGCCACCCCGAGACCCCTAGCCATAAACCCTGGGGCCCTAAACCTTTTGCCCCAACCCCAAGTGCAAACAAAAACGCTTACGAACTTTTGACACTGGTCCCTCGAAGTGTCCAAAAGTTCGCTGGCAAGTGTCAAAAAGCTCGTGACACTTGCCCACGAACGGTGTGACACATGGCCATGAAGGGGTCAAAAAGTTCGCGGGCACATGTCAAAAGTTCGTCTCCGCGAGTGAAAGAGCACTTGCCCAAGAAGTCCATTAACATCTAATTTATATGGGTATTTCCCAAAATAGGGGTACCGCGTTTAGACCAAATAGAATAGAGTCCCCTTAAAGGGCCCCCCCCCGCAAAAAAAAAAGAAGAAGAAAAAGGGCATAAACCCTAAACCCTGAACCCTAAACCCTAAACCCTAAACCCTAAAGCCTATTGTCGGAAGCCCCCCCATAGGTGAAAGAGAGGTTTAGGCTCTTGGACTTCGGGTTGCTGAGGCACATAAACCCTATAAACCCTAAACCCTAAACCCTATTGTCGGAAGCCCCCCATAGATGAACCTGGCTCAAGAGCTCAAGTAAGCGAGAGAGAGAGCGCGCGAGCGAAATTGCCTTGGGGGCGTAGTGTCCTGGCCATGGCTTCCTCACTTTGGTCTGCTTTGCCGCTGGAGCGGGCCCTCGGCCCATGACCCACTCGGGGTTCGACGCCAACAGTGCCGTCCATTCGCCGATACCTGCTTCCACGGCCTGTCGGAAATGTCGCTTCAACAGCAGATCTTTGGAGGGTCGCGCCTTCTTGGTGCTGGGAGCGCTGGCGTGTGTGTGGGGAAGCTGGTGCCAGCCCATCTCCATCAGCCGAAGCCCGACACCGGCTCCGGCTCTTCCGTCCATGGGCAGGGACGAGCGGCGCAGCCTCACTCGTGACATCAATGCCCAGGACCGCAGTCGGATACTTCTGGATCTGGCCCCCGGGTCCCTCCCCATCAATTGGCGGAGGCCCTGCCGGCGAC